CCTCAGGACTCTGGGCTTGAGGAGTCTTGAGGGGGTCCCAGGGTTGAGGTGGAAGACTATAACTGGGAGAGTGGAGCTTCAGACAGTGAAGAAGCCAGGAAAGGGGACGGGATGATGATGAGGGTGGGCTACCAAGAGTAGGGCTCTGGTCTAAGAAGCTCTTGCCACTCGCCTTCTCCTGCAGGAGATCCGCATTCTCCAGTCGCATATCTCAGACACCTCAGTGGTCGTCAAGCTGGACAACAGCCGGGACCTGAACATGGACTGCGTCGTCGCTGAGATCAAGGCACAGTACGACGACATTGTCACCCGCAGCCGGGCCGAGGCCGAGTCCTGGTACCGCAGCAAGGTGAGTGGCACAGGACACCTGCCTGCTAGATGTGGCAGTGGGAGGGATGCAAGGTATCTATTAAATAGGCTTCCTTTTCTGGGGATTCTGGTCCCTACAGATGTTAGGGTGGCAGGGCAGGACTGCCATGTGTGGTTGCTCAGGCTGAGCACTGCATAATCATCCGTGGTGTCCTGAATGGATGGGAGGTCCCACCCTAAGCCTCATGAGCATCTCTACTTCACCAGTGCGAGGAAATGAAGGCCACGGTGATCAGACATGGGGAGACCCTGCGCCGCACCAAGGAGGAGATCAACGAGCTGAACCGCATGATCCAGAGGCTGACGGCCGAGGTGGAGAACGCCAAATGCCAGGTGTGGGAGCCCAGCCCACTCCTCAGTGTAGGAAGAGAGTGGGGTTAGCCCTCAGCAGAGGGATTTGGGTTAGACTCCTTGCCAATGTGTGGGGACAAGGGCAAACACCCAACATGAGGACGGACAGCCTCCTCCATGGAAATGTTCTCCATTCTCGCTGAATGGAGGCACTGGGGCAATATGGAGGGAATGAGGTGACAAGGGCTTTCCTGCTTCCAAGGGCAGGGTGGGGCAGAGGAAACAGCACCAGTCTAAGGGGCAGGAAATCTGGGCTCTCAAACCAGCTCTGCCACTAGTTTGCCATGAGACTTGAGAAAGGCATTTAACCCCTCTAGCCTGTTGCTCTAGATCAGTGATCGCACATTCAAACATCAGCGGGGTTGGTAAATGAGCAAAGCAAGCAAGCTGTTCCCAAGGCACTTGGGTATGATCGGGATTATGGCAAACTGGAAAGCACAAAGGGCAGGGCTAGGCAGCTCCAACTGAGGCAGGCCATGCAGAAATGCGGGTCCAGTATGGCCAGATCCTCTGATCTTTTGAAAGAAGCCAGGAATTTCAATTATTGTGTTAAATTTCCAAAATTGAAGACACCGTGCAAACACGCCTGGGAGCACTAATTTGCAACCCCTGGCCTGACAAATAGATAAGGCCTCTTCTTCCTCTGCTAGTCAGTGGTCAGTGGTTACCTGGTCTCTGACCCTGAAGCCAGAACAGAGATTCTTAATAACTCAACTTGCCTCCCAGAACTCCAAGCTGGAGTCCGCGGTGGCCCAGTCTGAGCAGCAGGGTGAGGCGGCCCTCAGTGACGCCCGCTGCAAGCTGGCCGAGTTGGAGGGCGCCCTGCAGAAGGCCAAGCAGGACATGGCCTGCCTGATCAGGGAGTACCAGGAGGTGATGAACTCCAAGCTGGGCCTGGACATCGAGATCGCCACCTACAGGCGCCTGCTGGAGGGCGAGGAGCAGAGGTGAGGACCACAGCTGTGGGGAGGGTGTCCCCTCAGTTTCCCCCAGGCAGTGCTGCAGTGCTTCAACACCCAGGAGCATGTCTGCATATTATTTACTTGGAATGTGCCTCAACGCTAATTGGAGGAGAGAATTTGCAGGTTAACAGATTTCACCAGTTTTGCTCCCCACAACTAATTTCTGTCTTTTTGCTTTCCCTATAAGGTTGTGTGAGGGCGTTGGTGCTGTAAATGTCTGTAAGTAATCCATTTTGTGGGTCCTGAAATAAGAACCTGGGGTTCTGGGCAGGCAAACTTTTTCTTCAAGCTTCAGATGGTAAAAACTTTAGGCTCGTGGGCCATGCAGTCTCTGCCTCAACTGCTCCACTCCGTTGTTGTCATGTAAAGCAGCCACAGCCAAAGGCAATACTTAAAGGAAGGGGTATGACTGGGTTCCAAGTAAACTTGATTGACACACAGGAAGCCTGCATGTGACCATAGTCTGCAGACTCTAAAAGGAAAGACGGAGTTGGTCAGTGAGTGCTTATAGTAACTTAATCAGCTACAGTCATGCACCACCTAAGGACTTTCAGGTCAAGGATGGATGGAATATAGGACAGTAGTCCCATTAGATTATAATACCATATTTTTACTCTACTTTCCTATGTTCAGATACACAAATACCTACCATGGTGTTACCGTTGCCTTCAGTCTTCAGTACAGTCACATGCTGTACAGATTTGTAGCCCAGAAGCAATCGGCTATGCTATAGAGTAAACTTGTCAAACCTGCGACCAGAAGGCTGCATACAGCCCAGGACGGCTTTGAATGTGGCCCAGCACAAATCTGTAAACTTTCTTAAAACTTATGAGATTTTTTTGTGTGTGATTTTTTAAAGCTCATCAGCTACCATTAGTGTTAGTGTATTTTATGTGTGGCCCAAGACAATTCTTCTTCTTCCAATGTGGCCCAGGGAAGCCAAAAGACTGGACACCCTTGGGGCCTGGGTGTGGTGGCTTACGCCTGTAATCCCAGTACTTTGGGAGGCCAAGGCGAGTGGATCACTTGAGGTCAGGAGTTTGAGACCAGCCTAGCCAACATGGTGAAACCCCATCTCTGCTAAAAATTAAAAAATTAGCCTGGCGTGGTGATGAGCACCTGTAATCCCAGCTACTAGGGAGGCTGAGGCAGGAGAATCGCTTGAACCCGGGAGGCAGAGGTTGCAGTGAGCCGAGATCGTGCCACTGCACTCCAGTCTGGGCGATAGAGAGAGACTCCATCTCAAAAAAATGAAATGAAATGAAATGAAATGAAATAAAATAAAATAAAATAAAATAAAATAAAATAAATATAGCCACTCTTGCCATAGAGCCCGGGTATGTAGTAGGCTACACCATCTAGGTTTGTGTCTGTGCACTCCATGATGTTCGCACAACGACAAAATCATTTAATGCTGTACTTCTCAGAACCTGTCTCTGTTGTGAGGCGAAGCATGGCTGTGTCTGCCTCTAGAGAGGACCTGGGCTAACAGTGTATCAAGGACGCTTGAGGCTAAGACTGCAGGAAGGAGTGCCCATGTGAGGGTGTTGAGGGGAGCGGATAGAAAGAGGGGAGAAGCTCTGAGCAGAAGGGGCCTCTGGCCGCCAGGAGACTGAGCCCTGTGCTCCCCCTCCGGCAGGTGTCAGCAGCTCCCGTGGCGGGGTCGTGTGCGGAGACCTGTGCGTGTCCGGCTCCCGGCCGGTGACTGGCAGCGTCTGCAGTGCCCCCTGCAGCGGGAACGTGGCGGTGAGCACCGGCCTGTGTGCGCCCTGCGGCCAGACCTGCGGCAGCAGCCGCTCCGTGCGCTTCGCCTGAGCGCCCTGCTTTGTACCGACGCCGCCACGCCAGCAGAAGTCCCAGCCTCCTGAGACAGGCCGGAGCTCCCAGGGTCCTCAGACGTGGGGAAGGAGGGCTTCGGGGCCCAGCTTCCCCACAGGCCCCCTCACCGCGCCTTCCCGTCTCGCATCCCCTCCCGCTAGTCCCTTCACTGCTTCCGGGAGCACAGGGCTCCTAGCCCGCAGCTCTCCCCACCTCCGCATCTGAAGGACTGTGTCCTCGCAGCCCTAGGCAAAGACCTGGGTCCAGCGGCCTGGATGCCTGTGGCTTCTGAGGGACAGATGGGCCTGGAGCCCCTTGGTGTGGACTTGCTGTGCCTTCTAATCCACTGTCTTCTAATACACGTGTGGGACAGGCCACCTCTCCCGCCTGGCTGCCTGGCTCCCTGCCTCTCCCCTGTGCTTGTCTCAGCATTTCCATTAAAGCTCCTAGTCATATGCAATGCGCCCTGAGAGTCTCTTTTTCTTCTTGCCCACTTCGTCTTCTTAGTCGGGCGAGAGGACCTGGATCTCCTGACACCCTGGGTGGGAACTTCATCACTGTGGCTGCTGGTCCACTTCTTTCACTCTCCACCCCAGCCCCCACCTCAGCATTTGAAAGTTCCCTGACCATAGGGTCAAATATACAGATTTCCTCTGAGAAGCCAACACATCCCAGATAGCTCCTCCACCCACACCACCACCATCACCCCCTGGGGTCCCAGACACAGAGACCTCCCTGCGGCTCCACAGTACCCATCATATGTGCTGCTGCCCATCATTCTCCATGCATAGGCCCTGCCACAGAACACCTGCCACACTGACATATAGAGGCCCCCATCAAGCCCTGACTTAACACAGATGTCCTTCCCCACTCCCATGGATCCAGAAACAAACCCATCCCTCCGTTAAGGTCCTAGGCACAGACCTGTTACGGGGGATCTAGACTCTAGGACCCTCCTCCCATGCACACACACACCTCCTCCCCCAGCCACCACCCCCACAGAATTCGAGATGCAAAGGACCTCTCCAGGGCCCCAGGGCCTGGCCGACCATGAGCCTGGCAGACCCAGCACCAGGAAGGGCTGAGGACGGCTGGCATGAAAGTTGGCTGGGCCACCCGAAACTGGGGCCTGGGGCAGCTGAACGTCTGTGACCTCCTCACAAAAAGAATGTGTTCTGGCAGCTCGGGGCATGGGGGGAGGGAGGCAAACAGCCTTTCTACCCCCTTAGCAGGACAGCACTCCAAGGCCCAAATGCTGGCAGAGCCTGCATTTCCCCATGGCTCTTCTGAGTTCCTCAGGAGAATCTTTGGATCAGCCCCAGCCCTGGAGGCCAAGGCTCGCACTAGGTAAGCATCCTGCTCCTTAGAGCAGCACTCCATCCCACCATGTGCCTTCTCAGTCTCCCGCACAAAAGGCTTCCTAGTCACCAGGGAAACCCTGCCTTCACTAGTCCCGTCTTTCCCCCTGCCCAGGCTCATGACGCCAGGATACCAGGCACATGGATCACTCAGGCCTCAGAATGAGGGTGCTTTATTGGAAGCTATTCTGACATCACTTTCCAGACTGTCTCATGGTCTTGGGACCAGGCATGGGAGGCAGGGATGGGAATCTTCTTGTGACTGTGGGCGGTGGCTGGAGGAATGGAGTGGTAGGAGGCAGCTCAGTTGCGGGCACTCCTGCGACTGGTGGATGTGGTCCGGATTGAGTAAGCCTTCAGGGGCCCAGGACCCGCACTGCTGGAGAAGCTCAGGGCATTGCTGCCCATGGTTCCCCCGAGGGTCAGCCCAATGCCACCACCATTGCTACTGCCACCAGTGGAATTCACCACAGCTGGGAGAGAAAAGAGGAGGGCTCTCTTCAGTGTGAGGCTCCCTACCAGGGACCCCATCCCTTCACTGCACCCCACCCTCCTGTCCGAGCTGCCCCTCTCCCTCACCCCTGCCCCACCCCCATGGGCCAACCCAGAAGGAGCGTCTAACAGGGGTAGGGCTGCTCCCCAAGTGCTCCCGGCCCCACCCTGCCCTCTTGTACTGCTTCCCAGGCCATTGAGCTGGGCGGTATGTGCTCCAGGGGACCTGCCAGACCCTGCAGAAAGGAATGAGGCTCCTGGCCCTTCCAGCAGGGCCCTGGGCCAGTCTGCCATTCTATAGACCCAGCCCTGTCTGACCAGCACAAGCGATGCTTCCCACCGGCTACAGCCAAGGACTTACAGATATTCACGGCTCCCACTCCATCTCCGGCCAACCTGGGGGCAGAGGACAGACAGTGAGGACAGCGCTTTCCTAGCATGGGAGGGAAGCGCTCTCAGCTCCCTATCCTTCCAGGCCCCAAGCAGGATCATTGATTTTTCCTTCTTGCCCCACACTTCCAGCCTGCCTTCAGCCTTGTAAAAGGAGCGAGGAGGCATGCAGGAAGGGAGTGTTCACCTTGGCCCTTCTGTCCACTGGCCACATGATCCCAGGCAATGTCTCAGTGCCTCCATTTCCCACCTATGCCTTGGGCCCAACTACAGGACCAAATTCATGGTCTTGTTTGTGAGGGTTAAATGACATAATCTGTCTAAAGCCCTGAGCACCTGGGATTCGGTGAATGGTAGCTGTGTGTATTATTTATGTAGATGGTTGCCTTTCCTTACCATAACATAAAATCCTAAAGGTGTCTGTGGCCTATGGATACTTTTATCCCCAGTATGAGGCCTAGAGAAGTCATTGCTTAATATATGTCAACATAATTAGTGAATCATTGACTGACTGAATGGGGCTCCAGCCAGGACTAAGGAAGGAGCAGGGAGTGGGGGTGGCTTTAAGCAGCCATTGGGGCTGAAACAGGTCTTGCAGTAGAAACTAAAAATCCATTCGAGACAGCTGGCTATGTTTGTTTTGTGACTCATAGCCCCATTGTCACCAAACCCTTGGCCTTGGGGATCAGTTTGCTCCGTGGGGGCAGGGAGGACCTCACTTTAGTAGAGGGAATAAAGGGAGCCTCGCTGGCCTCTGTGGCCCCAAGCCCAGGAAGCAGGCAGAGCAAAGCCTGAGGGAAAGAGACAGGTTTGCTGAAAGCTTCCAGGGGGCTTGCTTAAAAGGCCCCTGCTTGTGCTGGGAGTTGCTGGCACTTGTGGGTGGGGAGAGGGAGCCAGTTTGCAGTCAGGCAGCAACTCTAAGAATTTCTGGTACAATGCCTAAAGAATTCAGACGGAAGAGGCCTGAATGTCCAAGGCCCCAGTGACCTGTGTGACTTTTCTCATTCTAAATAAGTGGGTGTTTTTTTGGTAACTTTGTATTCTTAAAGTAGGCCTCCCAGTTTGAATGAGTTTCTGGACCACAACTCTGATAAGTTAAGGGATAAAAGCAAGGTATCTACCTCCATATCCCCCCAGGGATGGGGGAACCGTATCCTCTCAGAGTACCTGAATGGAAGCCTGGTTATAGCAGCTCAGACTGAGATTAAGCTTTCGGAAGAGGATGTCTCTGCATGCTGTGTGACCTTGGGCACACTACCGACCCATTTCTGAACTTCAGTCCCCTTTTCTTCCCATGGGAGGAAGCCAGATCAGGTACCACTCTAAGAGTTCCCCACCTCTGACTTCTATGATGACCGAAGGCCCAGGGTATGGGTTCTAAAGAATGTGGGGGCCCTGTGCCCCATGAGAGAGGTGGAAGCAGAGAGAGGCATCTTGGCTGGAGCTCCCTGTGCCCAGATCAGCTTCTGTGTTCCCAGAGGCCTTTGGTGTTCAATTCTTCTTCCCACAAAGAAGACTGGGTGCTAACCCAGGGAGAAGGCGGGTCAGTGGCAGGGGCAAAGCCCCTTCCTCCTCCTCTCCGCCCCCTACTCATACCCTGCAGCCCTGTGTCTCCTCTCCGCCTCCCAGCACCCAGGCCCTCGGCCCTAGCACCCCGGCCCTCGACCCCAGCACCCCTTCACTCCCCAGTCCCTTCCCCACTGCTCCATTCATCCTCCATCACGTCTCTCTCTGGCCCCTCAGGAATAATACTCAGAAAAGAAGAAGTTCTTGTATACACTCAGCATTTTACAAATGCAAGTTACTTGTCTCTGGGGGTTTCCTTTGTGGATGTTTTCTCTCCTCCACCCTCTGCACCTCCCTGAGGGCAGAAACATGTCCTACATATTCTCTGTCACCATGGTGTCTTACAACAAGCCAAGAATGAAGAGGTTGAGTTCTAACCCAACAATACATACATGAAGGCCCAGCTGCATGGACAGAGGTGTCATGTGGTTCATGAAGAATGTGCTATCAGACTCACCCATTGCAGCCTCCTCTCTGACTACAAGTGAGTCTGCAAATATCTCTGGGGACAAACGAAATTATCCCCCTCCACCACAGTCAGTTAACACCACATGATGTAGCACTTAGTTCTGTAGTGAGAAGCAGCTTGGCATCCTGGAAGATCTTTGGAGCAGGAATCAGCACACCCTGACTGCACACTGGCCCTGTTCCCTCAATTAATGAAACTCAACCACAGTTTTCCCCTCTGGAGACTAAGGAATCAATCATCTCTGACCTGACTACCTGAATGTGTGCTGAGGATCAAATATGATAACCCTAAGAAGCCACACACACAAAGGGACTGTTATCATTTCAACCTGCCCACTGAGCTTCACACATCATGGTCTTTCCTTCCAGAAGCTCATCTCATTGAAGGCAAAGAGGCAAGCATCAGCTCTGTGTCCCCTGCATCCCCACACCCAGTGCCCTGCAGAGGAGGGGCACACAGGAAATGCTTGTAAATGGATGAATGTCAAGCCCCAGACCCCACGGAGCCCTAGAAGGATCCCCTTTCCAGCTTCCTTGTCCTCACCGGCTCTCCTCGCCCTCCAGCAGCTTGCGGTAGGTGGCGATCTCGATGTCCAGGGCCAGCTTCACGCTCATGAGTTCCTGGTACTCACGCAGTTGCCGCACCATATCCTGCTTGGCCCGCTGCAGGGCAGCTTCCAGCTCCTCCTGCTTGGCACGAGCATCCTTGAGTGCCAGCTCCCCACGCTCCTCAGCCTCTGCAATGGCGGCCTCCAACTTGGCACGCTGTGGGCAGCAGTGCAGCTATAAGCCGGGGCTCACCAGTCTGCCTTCCTGCCTACCCATCCTGCAGTGAGCACCCGGGCAACTTGCTTAAGGCGGCTTCATTGGCACCACCTACTCCTCCAAGTACCAGAGAATCCCAAGGGTTAAACACATAGGTTTGGATATCCAATGCCTATGTTCCAGTTCTGGCTCTGCCACTTACTAGCTATGTGACCATGGATGAACCAACCCTGCTAAGCCAAAGTCCCCTCTTTTCTGAAAGTACAATAATCACAGTGTATGCCTCATCAGGAGATTTTGAGGATGAAATGAAATAGTATACAACATGTCCTTGGCACAATGTCTAGCACACAGCAAGTTCTTAATAAATGCTATTGTGATCATTTTTAATGAATGCTATTATGATTTTCAAACCCCCAGTCCCCCAGCCCCAGCCCCCAGCTGCAGGAGCTCTAAGACCATGGGATCTTAATTGAGTCCCCAGATGTCAGGCAGCTAAGAAAGACCAGAAACCACCTATAAAATAGGAACCAGTTGAAAGCAGGCCCAAAACAGGAGGGCCTGGAGCAGACAGACCTTCCTAGATGCCCCCAGATGCCATGAGATGCATGACTCACAGTCCCCGGGTTCGGTCAGGGATGCTCTGGTTCTAGACCTGTGCCTGCCTGGAGCAGCTGCCACTTCCTCCCTGGCCTTAGAGTGCCCTCTGCTTTGGGCTCAGCCGCCATGGCCAGGAGCCTGAATAGTCCCAGGCCTCATTTTGTTTAGCTCAGAGAGCCACCATCCCTGTCCCCTGGGCAAGGACTTCTCTCTCTTCTCACCGGCCATTCTCTGTCCTCAGATCCTCTTCCCTCAGCAGAGGCAGCCTGCCTCTCTGCCAGAGACCACATTCCCCAGGAGGCCCTCTGACGCTCTGCCCCTCAGCCGTGGCTCAGTGCCCTGCCTTGTCACACTGGTGCCCCCAGAGTTAAGGCCATCCCCACTGCCTCTGGAGACCCCTTGTAGCTCCCCCTGATGCTCCTCAGTGGTGGTAGACACCTGGCCCTAGGCCTGGATCTGCCCTATTGTGTGAGAGGAGAACCGGATGTGGTAGAGGCTGCAGTGTTTGGGAAACCACCATTTGTTATTCTGTGCTTCCCCTCCTGGCCTGGAAGCTGGCCCACTTCATGGGGTGACTAGTGGCCCTGCCTCTGTGCCACAAGGCAGCCTCCGCCCTCCTGTAAACAGGCCCGCAGGGCTCCAAGGGGAGGACATTTCTGGGTAAATCACTGCCATATTCCCCAGACCCACAGCTCATCTGGAAATCAGCTTTCCGAAGCTTCCACATGTGTCGCCTTCCCCTTCTCTCCACTGCAGACACCTGCACAGGCTGAGCTGCCCTGGCCACACCCTACTCAGCCAGGGCTGGGGGGCCTTCCCCCATCAACACCTCCAACCCCAGCTTCCAGCAAAGCTCATCCTCCCAGGCAGTCTCTCATCTGAGACCCGTGCCCCTGCCATGTGCCAGATGCTGGAAGAGAGGAGCAGTGAACCAGACAGACAGGCTGCCGATAGAGGGGCTGGGTGTTTGAGGCTGCTGTCTCTGAAAAGGGGTCTTTTCCTAAACCCCAGGGAGGAGAAAGGAACAGCCATGGACAGAGCTGGGAGAACCACATTCCAGGGGGAGGCAACGCCAAGTGCAAAGGCCCTGAAGCATGACCATGCTTGGCAAATGCAAGACACAGGAAGTAGGTTAGCATGGCCAGAGCAGAGTGAGGGGAGTCATGGAAAGTGAGGTTTGGGTGGGAAAGGGCCATGTGAGCCATTATAACGTCTTCTGCTGGCCTCTGTCCCTGCAATGAATGATGAGCTCCCAGGGGCAGCACCCTGCACCCAGAACCAGGTGCAATCAGAGTGCTCGGTATCAATGTGGAACCAGTGGTGGCTTTCCTCTGGCCAGTCAGCCTGAGTCTCCCTCCACATGCTCTGTGCACATCCAGGACCCTTCTCCCATCAGCCCATGCCAGGACCTGGCCAAGAACATTGTGTCCTGGAGATCTCACAAGGGGGTCTGAAACAGTGGCACCAACTTTGGCCGGGAGAGGGGAAACCTCCTGCTCCGCATCCTGAGTGTGGCCTCAGCTGGCCCCCCCTGCATGCCCCAAGGAGCAGGGGGAGCCAGGAGGGCTTGTCCCACCTGGTTCTTGATGTTGTCGATCTCAGCCTGCAGCCTCTGGATGGCCCGGTTCATCTCCGAAATCTCGTTCCGGGTATTCCGGAGGTCGTCCCCATGCTTCCCAGCTTGGGCCTGGAGGGTCTCAAACTGGAAGGGCCATACAGAGAGTTATGGTAGGGAGGTGGGCAGAGAGTACAAGTAACTCATCCCTCTCTCCACCCAAGGAAGGCCCCTGCCAACTTATATTTTCAGGGAAGGACCGTCTGACTCCCATCAACCTTTGCCTGATGCCAGGAGACCAGACAGCAGCGTGAGGAAGGGATTCATTCTCCTCCCAGCCAGCCAGGGAGGGCAGACAAGGCTCCGTAGGCCCATCCCCACGGACCCCGGGGCTCCTCCACTCCCACCATGCCCTTCTGCTGGAGAATCACTGAGAGTTTGAGATTCTCACCTGTTCAACACCCAGAACACCCATTTCATAGGTGAGGAGAGTGAGTCTCGGAGAAGAGAAAGCACCACCCAGGGATCACACAGCCTATCAGTGGTGGAATGAGGGCCTGAACCCAGGTCTCCTTGTTGGCATACTTGTGTTCTCGCCCATGCACCATGAATGACTCCCTATCTCTGCAGGGGCAGACCTCTCAATCCTTGCCCCAGGATCCCTTCTTCAGGAACACTGGTTCACCCCAGCACCCACTCCTGCTACCTCAGCCCCTGCACCATCAACTGTCCTGCCACCATGGAGTGGATGTGATGATTAAGCCTCCCAGGTCTAGAGCCCTCGTGTTCAGGATCTAGTCCCTGCTCTTCCATCTACTAGCTGCATGCAGTTGCAAATTACTAAACTTCTCTGTGCCTCAATTTCCTCATCTTTAAATGGGGGTAATAGGCCGGGTGCGGTGGCTCACACATGTAATCCCCCAGCACTTTGGGAGGCCGAGGCAGGTGGATCACCTGAAGTCAGGAGTTTGAGACCAGCCTGGCCAACATGGTGAAACCTCCTCTCTACTAAAAATACAAAAAAAAATTACCCAGGCATGATGGCGCACACCTGTAATCCCAGCTACTCAGGAGGCTGAAACACGAGGATCACTTGAACCAGGGAGGCAGAGGCTGCAGTGACCCGAGATCACACCACTGCACTCCAGCCTGGATGACAGAGCAAGACTCCATCTCAAAAAATAAAAATAAAATACATAAAATAAAATAAAACAAAATGGGGGTAATAATGATGCCTATCTAATAGGGCTGTTCTGTGGATTACATGAGTCAATAGCGGCAAAACATTTGAAAATTGCCTAGTACTGTGTAAATACTTGCCATATTTTAGCTATTATAATGATTAATCCATATCTGTTTCCTCTGCCCTGTCCTCCCATCTTGGGATTTCCTCCAGGGCAGAGCACCACAGATTTAAACCACTGGTGCCTGCTAGAACAGTGGGACCCAGGCCCTGAAGACTTGAGACAAGTTGAGGAGTAAGGGAAGCTGCCACCAAGGACCCTGGCAGGAGGAAGTATGCCCCCGGTGGCCTCACACCTTGGTCTGGTACCAGGCCTCAGCCTCAGCCCGGCTGCATTTGGCCATCTCCTCATACTGCGCCTTGACCTCAGCAATGATGCTGTCCAGGTCCAGAGAGCGACTGTTGTCCATGGACAGCACCACAGATGTGTCGGAGATCTGGGACTGCAGCTCTGTCAACTCCTGTAGGGACCAGACAGGACATCAGGACTTAGGGCAGGATCCTATGCCCACACCCACCCTGGGATTCCCCACTCACAAAAGAAAGAAAAGAGAGAATAGCCTGGAGTGGGCTGAGTCACCAGGCAGCAAGGGGGCCCAGACCCAGCACACATTAAGTTATTTCATTCTGCCCACCCTTGGCTCCCTGAGAGCCCATTAGCAGTGTCTCAAACGAAAATCTGGCAGGGTCAAAGGGGATAAGGAAAGGCACAGTGTCGTGTGCTGTGCCGACTTCTCACTGTGAGGTTCTGTAGGCACACAAGCTCTATTATGAGGGAGGCCATGGGGAATGGATGAAATTATCATATTCCACCCTGCTACAGGATACTCTGCAGTCTGTACACTGATACACACACACACACACACACACACAGGTGTGTTTACACATAAATAAACTAAACTTTCACCACATTACATGTGTGTTTACATATAAATAAACCATGTGATAGACACAAGAAGACCTGAGATTAGAAATGCCTGAAGCAAGCCTCAAAGAAACTTCCCCTGAAATTAACAAATGTATGGACATTTGCTCTGAGGGGCTGATGGAGACTGGACGTTCAGGCAAAGACTAGACTGAAGAACTGGTCTGTAATTAACCTCACAAGCTAATTATGCCCAGGCTAGCCTCTGCCAAGTGACTGGCTGCCCTACCTTCTGCCTAAAGCCAGAGACTCACACTGATGAGAGTGGAGAGGTTTTTAAATCCCCTTGAAGAAAAACAGCTGGAGAGCTCGGAGGACAAGGGTGAGAGGGAGAGAATGAGAAGGGAATGGAGGACATTAGAGTGGTGAGTTGGCAGGCAGCTACCACCCAGCCCCTCTGGGAGTAAATGCTCAGGCACTCCAGTCTCTCCTGACTTAGGCTCCCCTGCTGGCCCCACCTAGCCCACCTTTGAACCCTATCACAGCCTGGAGTACCCTGACCTCCTCCTGGTTCCTTTCAGTCCCACCCAATCCCCCTTCCTTGGAAATGCTGCAATCATCCCATGTCTCTCCAAGGTCAATCCTGATTGACTCACCCCCACCTCCTCCTGAACCCTTAGCCCATCCTGAATTCCTGAGTCCAGAAAGGATAAAGGGCAGGATAAATCCTCTCAACCCCTGATGAAGGAAATAATGTATATAATGGTCCATTTCCAAGACAAAGTGCCTTAAATTGACTTAGGTCAGCAAACTACAGAAGAAATAGGATATACTAGCCCTCTACTTGAATAGCCAATGCCTGCTTGTTAGCCCCTCAGCTTCTCTTGCCCTCACCTGAACCAAAGAAGTTTAGTCTAAGATGAAGGTTTGATAGCCTGCAAAATGACTCACTTTGTCTGTTCTTATCAGCCTGCCCAGCTACTTAGGTCATAAGTCAAATACTTAAAGAGCCCTTGAGCTGACTAGGATTGCAATGCATTGTAGGCTGCAACAAAATGCAGGAAGTCAACCCTAAAAAAAACACCTAAAGCCCCAACCCAACAACCAATAGGCAACGTCCAGGAAGATTCTAACCCCATAGTACTCAGCCTGTGAGGAACTGAGGGAGGGACCTGTGCACTAGGGGATAAATTGCTTGTTGTGGCTGTGCTGGGCGTACCTGCCCATCAGACACCCATCTTGCAAGACTGTCATTAAAAGTCTCACTTTCACTGTTCTCCAGGTCTCTGAGTCCATTCTTTGGGTTTGGACGGTTGAGTTTGTTTCTCACACTGACACATACCTGGACTGGCCCAGAGGCAGGGGGCTGGACCAAATGTCTCCCTGGTTAGAATGGGTAGGATAAGACATGTCACCCAGCCCCATGGTCCTCACCATCTCATTGAGGGTCCTGAGGAAGTTGATCTCATCATTCAGGGCATCCACCTTGGCCTCCAGCTCCACCTTGCTCATGTAGGCAGCATCCACATCCTGGGGGTTGGGGCAAGATGGGGCAGAGGGACACCATGTCCTCAGTACAGGGAACATTTAGTAGGGGTGGGAGTAGTTCTGCTCTACCCAACCCACAGGCCAAACACTACCACCCTACCCAGAAACAGAGTTTCCCCAGCTGCCTGACACGGTCACAGCAGGAAGCTTGCCCTGCTACCCCTCCAGACTGCATGGCGGGCATCAGCACAGGTATCCCAGAGCAGCTGAAGCCCCAAGCTAGCACTTGACCAGTTCCTAAAGACCCAGATGGTTTCAACAACCCCCTAACTCCACCTACTAACCGTGTAACCTGGAAAAAATCACTTCAACTCTGGGAATTCAACTTTTCATCAGTCAGTAGCAGAACACAAAGTCATTCAGATTCCCAGCCCCTCTCCCAGAGATGGAAAATCTCCAGGCTATGTGTTTAATTTGCAGCATGGTAACTATGATGTAGGTGGGCCTCAACTAACACCCCAGGTGAAGATGGTGTCTGGGCCTCTTCCAGCTGCACTTTCCCGAGGTTAAACTCCTATGGACAGGCCTCACTTTTACTCATCCCTGAATCTCCAAGGGCCCAGCTCCCAGGGGCAAGTTGCACTTCTGTGGTTTGGCCTGGAACACCAACTGCTCAGTGTTTTGAAGAGAATCTTAAAGGGCATATAGACAAGACCCCTAAGATACTTCTAAGGCCTTCCAACATTGCACATCTTCAGGAACAGAGAACCCATGCTGGCTCGAGGCAGCTCATTGCATTCATTTAGCAAACATTTCAGGCCAGCCAAGCACCACCGTTGTGATGAAAATGTTCTGGCTTGAATAAAGCACTTCCTTATTCAGCATTGAAATCTCCCTCTATAACCTCCATCCTTTGCTCTTAGTTCTAACCCCTAGAGGCCTAGAAATGAGTCACCACACACACACACACACACACACACACACACACACACACACGCGCGCACGCGCGCGCACATGCACCCACAGGACAGACTGTGCAGACTTCCTCTTGGACAGCTCAGGCAGGTCTTGGCCAGAGGTCCCCATGGGCTGGTCAGGTGAGAGGACCCTGTGGTCCTTTGTCCCACATGTTTTCAGAAAACCTGCCTCCAGCCTGTCTTCCCCACTCACCTTCTTCAGCACCACAAACTCATTCTCAGCAGCTGCGCGGCGGTTAATTTCATCTTCATACCTGCAGTAGAGGAGGGCCTGGTGTTGGTACAGCTTTGCCTCCATGCTCCGCCAGCCATATGCAGCTGTGAAATCGGCCCTGCCTCCCTTCCCCTACTCTTTAAAGACACACCTGAAAAAACAGGTGTCAGCTACAAAACCAAATTTCCCTGACTTCCACGTGGCCATTCCTAGGGCTTTGAGTCTTGGCATTGGGGACTGTTGGTGGGGCACATAGGAAACATGTGAGTGACAGCACAGAAGCTGCATGTCCTGGGAGAAAGAAAGCAAATAATAATAGTCATATGCATGGACTATGTTCTATGGGTTGTACACATATTATGCGCTTCCTGTGCATGAGCTCATTTCATCCTCACAGCAAACCTATAACGATGGTACTCTGGTTATCAGAGAAGGGAACAGAGACACAGAGAGGCAGCTAATCTGCCCAGGTCACTAAGCTGCTAAGTGGCACAGCCCAGACTTGAACCTGGCAGCTGACTCCAGCCATGCCCTAATCACTACTTAATCCCACCCCTCAGGGGCAAAGAAGGAGTCTGAAGGGGAGGAACCTTGTAGAATCAGGATGAGGGATACACAAAGTCATGAAAGAATCAGGTCCCACCTAGATGATCCAGTCCCCATCCTTCCTCCCACAGCTCCTGTCACTCTTCCTCCCAAGGAGCCACTCCTGGCCCTTAGGAGGACCTGAGCAAACAAGGCACAGAGGAAGAGACCACACTGGCCTAATCTAATGCTTATGTTGAGACTCAAAAAAGGGTGTTGGAAACAAGAGTTCCAAGAACTGCTGGGAGCAGTAGGGGCAACCTGGGGTGGAGAGCAGGACATCCAGGTAGGCCAAGCCCCTTCAGGAGCCCAGACTCAGGGTGGGAGGTGCCCATACTCTCAAAGTTGCACTCCCTCAAGTCCTATAGAAGCTGTAGAAATATCTGCAAGGCTTCCTGTCCACCCCTGCCTCGGCGGTGCACAGCCAGGTCCAGAGGGTGCACAGATCAGAACTCCCTGAGCAGCTGCACACAGGGACCCTCCCTGGACCCCTTCCCTGGACCCCCTTCCAGTTCCTGTTTCAGTCCCAGCCTGGATCTCAGGCTGGCTCCACAGGAAGGTGCTCTGAGGGTTTGGGGTGGGGGGAGTATTGGGGGCGCAGCAGGTGTGCACACATGCATACACACACGTGTTAGTCCTGACAACACAGGCTGAATGGTGGCCCCAGGCCTTCCCTACTCTGCACCTGTCTGGTTCCACCTGCTATGGGACTAATCCTGATGACTTTTGCCTAGGGAAGTGGGGATGTGGGGGGGCACTCCACAAAGACCTTGTTTGCTCTCCTCCAGTCACAGCCAATGTACCTGCGCCTGCTTAGTCACACAGCCACAGGCAGGGGACAGAACTCTCACTGCCCCGCTGCCCCTCAGGTGTGCCAGGGTGGGGCCGGCCTGAGCTTCAGGCTTTTGTTTCTATTCAATGAGAAAAGAGCACAGCGAGCACCTCAAAGGCCTGTCCTCAAAAGCCCCAGTCCCAGCCTTCCTGGGCCTCCTTCTGGCTCCTACCATGACCAGACCCACCCTCAGCCTCTGCAGCTCTCCCATGGCTCACGATAACCATTTTCCCTCCCTGCTTCTTTCCTTCCCAAGTTGGCTCCGTGTCCCCTCCTAGGAGTCAGGGACCTAAAATTCAAGTCCCAGCTCTCCCAGTGACCTTTGCTGTGTGAGCTCAACCAAGTCCCAAAATTTCTCTGGTCTCTAATTCCTCACCTGAACAAAAGAGAGTTGTTCTAGAATAATCTGTGAAGGTCATGCCAGTTCTGAAGCACCCCTGTCAGAAGACACTTTCTGCCCTACTCTCTCTCGGGGCCGTGGTCAGGCACCCACAGGAGACAGTGCAGGTCAGGGCTGGGCTGAGACATTTCACTGGGACTAAGTCAGGGGAAAAGACCAGAATGATTTGGAAACAGTCTCCAGGGACAAAGAGGAGAGAGGAAAAGTGGGAAATGCATTGGTCAAGACTGGCCCCTCAGGGAGTTATTGGACTGAGCAGTTGCATGCTGACTCCTGAAGCAGGGGGACTTGCACAGGGTCAGCTGATGAGGGTCACATTGGTCCAGGGCAGGGGTTTCAACACGCAGCACTGGGGGCATTACTTATTCTTGAAGTCCTCCACCACATCCTGCATGCTCCGCAGCTCCGCCTCCAGGCGGCCCCCATCCACCTGCAGCGCCTCGAGCTGCCCCCGAAGGCCAGCGATCTGGGCCTCAAAGATGTCTGGGAGGCGGCTGCTCTTGGCCGACTTCTGCTCCTGCAGCAGCGTCCACTTGGTCTCTAGCAGCTTGTTCTGCTGCTCCAGAAACCGCACCTAGAAAGGGCAAGAAGGAGGAAGCTCAAGAGGAGCCGGAGTGTGTCACCTACAGCGGGACTGAGGAGTATTGTCTCTAGCCACTTAGCAGAGCCATGCTCTCCCTGGCTGTTTCCCTGCCTGGGGCCTCCAGCCCTCTCCCTTTGGACTCCAAATCAAGTGTCCTACAGAGTGATCCAGGAAGCAGGTCTGCCTGGTGCACGGATGTGCCCCGTGGTTGACTCTCGACGAATGTGCTCTGGGGCCTCACCTCCACTTCACTGCCCATCGCGTTACAGGTGGTGTTCTCCACCTCCCTCTCTGAAGGGCCACCTCTTCCTGTCAGTGGATCATGAGGATGACCAGGCCCAGCCCTCCCTTCAGTCTGGGACCTCTTCTCTTCCTTCCTCAGTATCCTTTCTCTCCTTCCCCTTTCTCCAGCAAGGCCTCAGGACAGTCAATCCATTGGTAAAATGACCTCAGCCTGGAGTCCACAAAGGCTCTTAAGGAGTAGCTGGTATGACTAGGGGTGGGAGGCAATAGAAGCCTCTGCAAAACCAGCATCTCAGGGCCCCAGGCCCTGTGGACCACAGAGAGTAAGACAGTGCGGCTCAACACGTGGGGGAACCTGGGCCTGGAGCAGCTTGGGGAGGCCCCTACAAAATCTAAAAAACAGGTCTGGGTGAATGGTGAAGGAAAGGAGGACATGAGGGATGGGGGTGGTGTGGGAGTAAACTTGGTGGAAGCCTGAGGAAGCCAGAACAGCCCAGCAGGGCCAGCCCTGAGTTCCTGGCTTTGGCCGCACTCCTCCCAAACCCACCAGTCAAGTCTGCCCCTCGACCCCTCCAGAGGCCCGTTGTGTGGCGGAGTCCAACAGCCAGGAAAAATATCTCCAAAATGGCCCCTTTTCGAGGCCCCTCTCTGCCACTCCCTGCCCCCAACTGGGCCGTCTTCAAGGGTAGGGGTAACCTCTCCTCCTGCCACCTAAGGGAGGCTGGAGGACCAAGCAGGTGGGGGCGGGGCGAGGCGGGAGCCTCCCTCACTGTAGCCCTAATCTCCAGCATCCGCATCCGCATCAGCATCCGAACGAGACTGGGTCTCCCTGGCTGGGAAGGGCGTGCCACCCAAGTCCATTCCTGACTCCACACGGTCCCCTCTCAGGGAAAGGGTCCCAGAGAGAGAACTCCTGGCCTAGGCCTCTGGAACTCCTAGGCACGAGGCAAAACTCGTCCAGGGGACCCACAGGCAGCCAGCGAGGGCAGCCCTGCAGCACTCAGGCCCGCACTCCCGGAGGAAAGGGAGGGGCAGCTGGGCAGCTTGCTGGAAGGGAGGGCTTGGAAACCGAGGGGATAAAATAGCTACGGGGTTCATGCGGAGGAGGAAGGACCCCCAGATCGTGTCCGCAACACTGGCGGAAAGAGAGAAGGGCGGCAGTGCTCCCAGCTCCTCGCCCGCGCGCAGGCAGGGCTAGTTGGGGCGGCTGCTGTGGTCTGGAGCGCGGCTCGAGGCGAGACGAGGTCCAGTCCTGCTCACCTTGTCGATGAAGGAGGCAAACTTGTTGTTGAGGGTCTTGATCTGCTCACGCTCCTCCTGGCGCACCCGCTGGAGGGAGGGGTCGGCTTCCAGCCGCAGCGGGGCCAGCAGGCTCTGGTTGATGGTGACCTCGCGGATGCCGGCGCCCACCGGGCCCCCATAGGCGGAGCGCACAGCCACGCGCGGCCGCGAGGCGCCCAAGTCGTAGAGGCTGCTGCTGCCAAGGCCGCCGGGGCGCGCGGAGCTCAGGCGCGCCTGGGCGCCGCGGCCCGAAAAGGCGGCTGAGCGCGAGGTGAATACCGGGGAGCTGAAGTGAATGGACATGGTGGCTGGGCCGGGATGGACCTAGCGGCGGGCTAGGAGGAGCGCGCACTCGCTGACCTCAGGGACACTCTGCGGCTTTTATCCGCCGGCGCAGGAGCCTGGGCTTCCACAGGTAGGGGCGGGGCTGGCCGCGGGCCACCCTTCTCTGCTGCCAGGCCCCTCCTGGGGCCGCCCTCCGCCATCTGCCCGCCCGCTCCGCCGAAGCCCAGACTTTCAAACCAAGCAGGAATGGTCCGGAGTGGGCAGGAGCGCCATCCCTAGACGGCCGCAGAGAACAGCGGGGGACCACAGTTCCGGCCCATCAGAAAAGGGCTCAGTGAGGGAAGGCTTCCCGGAGGAGGATGCTTGGAGACGGGGTGAAGAACAGAGATCCCTGATGCCTGAGCAGAAAGACCCAGTGGCAAGAGACTGGGAGAAGGGGTGGGCAGAAAAGTTCCAACCCAGGAGTCAACGCCCAGACGCCCGTCCAGGCTGCTGAAGCCAGAAAGGCATTCCTTACCGCTCTCCCTCACACCGATCCAGCTCCTCCTTGAGAGATCAGCTCACTTGTTAGGGAGTGGGACCCCTCCTGGCCCAGCTAGTTTCCCTGGCTGCGTTCCCTCCTACTTCATTTCCCAAAGAAACTAGGCTGAGAGGGCCGCGACCGCACTTCTGGCTCCTCCCCTCCCCACTCCAGTAGGCATCGGAAACCCAGGGGCCTTGGGAATGATTACCCCGGACCCCCACCTCCCGGACCCTCCACTCATATTCCTGCTCATCTATTTTATGCGTCCCTGTAGAGGAAGGGGACACTCGTGCGTATTTGTGACACTTTGTGGATGTGTGTACACTTCTGTGTGTACACACCTGCAGGCCTTTGGGCTCTGCTGTGCTCACACCCCCAGGCATATGCACGCACATGTCTGAGCCTGCTTACACAGATTGGGGTCTGTGCGTGCATCCTGGGCGAGGGGGCAGCTGTGGCTACACAATGACACACATTTGCAAGCCTGCCTGAGTGCGTGTGCTTCTATTAGCGCTCAACTCTCCTCCCGCTCCCCCCACCATTTTCCTATTTAAAAGTCCTCAGCTCTCATTATCTTTCTCCCATGAAGCCACCACCAAACAATTCCCAGCAGTTTCAAACCCAGTCAAGCGGAGTAAGCCTCCAGTGCTGGAACAGGGAATACCCGACAAAGCCTGAGTGCTAGCCTCACTTCCCAGTAGGGCCAATCATGCTTGCCACACCCTGTTCTCAGGCCTGGCTTCCGTCTGCCCTTAGCCCACCTCTAACCCCTCCCAATAAGTTGGCCAGATTCGTCACCTCAGACCAAGCCCTTGGGGGAGATGAGGGTGGGGATGGAATGTCCTTCCTGGTTGGCCATTTCAGTTAAAGCACAAGGACTTCTAGCGAGGCTAAAGAATGTCACCCCTTCTCAGTGATCTTAGTGGAGGCTCACCAGCCTCCCTCCCTGTCTCCCCTCCCGGCCCTAGCCTTTGGTGTTGGGTCAGCTCAGAGGCAGAGGGGTGCCCAAGGAGACCTGCTGTGGTATCAGTTGTGGAGCATGTATGTGTGCGTGAGGCAAGAGAGATTCGACCTGGAATTGTGCCTGGTTGTAGCTTGAAGAGCATACGGATTAGCTGGCCCTGTGATATTTGCATTCATAGGAATCTCACTGCCCTCCTTCCCCAACACCCAAGCAGGCAAAGAGACCAATTGTTTAATTTATACACATACACACACACACACACGTACACACACTCCAACTTCCTTACCCCTCAGGGCTCATCTTCAACTCTGTTTTCACCACTGCCTCTCATACCAATGCCTGCCTTCCCTCACCTCCCCCAACAAGTTCTGCCTCTGGCCCTCTCATCCATCCCCACCTCCAGCCCCCTACAGGATCTGCACTCTGGAGGCTGTGCCCACCCAGGCCAGGAGTTCCTGCATTCGCTTCTCTCCTAAAGCCTGGCTGGGAAATCTTTGTCAGGGCACTGTTGCTGCCTTGAGGCCCTGGACATATCACTGCCCTTCCCTGGGTCATGGAATTTTCACCCAAGATGAAATTCCCAGATTCCATACCTAGAGAGGGCTGGGGAGGGCAACGGGAAGGAGAAAAGGTCTCTGGACTTTTCAGGTTCACATCTGGGGTTGAGGGTGGGTGACCACTTTGAGCAACATTTCCCCATTCCAGGGCCTGCCTGACATTCACCCCTTGGCCTCTCCTCCCCTCCCTGAAGCATTCCAGGCCATCCCAGCCCTGGCCAGTCTCCTCCTGCCTCTCCATGCACAGGGCAGCACTGGGAGCCCACTCGGTGCCAGGTGGAGCATGTAAACATCCCCTGAAGGGCTTCCCAAAGTGCTGCCAACCCAAGAGGCTACAGATAAGATTCCTGCCCACAAGAGTTCACAGCTCAGCCATCCATCCAGCTTCTGTCTCCACCCCACCCGGCCTTTGTTGGCCTCACCAAGACCACCTTAGGAAATCCTGGGCAGAATCGTGAGGTGAGTTAATCCCACAGTCTTTCCTCGTTGGTCATCTGCCTGCCCCAAATGCAGGCTCCTGTCTCCATAGCACTCTGTCACACACACACACACACACACACACACACACACACTCTCTGTCTTCCCACCACCCTCCTAGCTGTCCCACCTCACGCTCTAGAACCGAGCTATGATCTCAAAGCAGCCCCAGGTCATCCACATTACCTGGCTTTGCTAAACCTGCCCTAGACACCTCTGCCCCTGCGGCCCCTGCTACTCCTTTCCCAAAGAGGAGGCATTCTGTTTGGCTCCTTGCTGCACTTAGGGAACTATTACTCATTGTCTATCCCCTAAAAACACGTCCTCTGACTCATAAAGAAAAAAAAACTAATTTTTTCGTTATCTTGAAATTCAGATTGGAATGTGGTATATTTGTGAAAAAATAGAAACATCCTAAATGCCTGTCAATAGAGAAGCGATTCAATGAATTGACTAATTCATTTAATCCAGTGAATTGACCATTCACTGGAATGCTATTGATTGAAAAGAAAATCCTTTATACACTGATTGAGTTTTTAACCTTTATATATTGATTGCATGATCACTGTGATTCTAAAAATCCTGTGGGCTCCTGCCATCCAGCTCCACCACTCCTGCCCCTCTCCCGAGGCTGACCCCTGCTGGCCCCATAGCCACCTCCTGACCTGACTCCCTTCATGCTCACTGTGGACTCTGTTACTCGGGTCCTGCTTCCTCTCCACCCTGAGCTCCCTCATTCTCAGTGCAAATGACCCACCCAGCATCTTACCCTTTGAGTTCCTTGAGCTCCTCAATTCTTTCACTGCATGCTTTTTCTCTTGCCTACACCTGAGGTCACACTCGAGATCCTACACTGCAGGACCATTGATAACAACTCTCACTGTCATTGATGGATTCTCAGGTACACCAGCACCCCAGTACCCCAGTCCTGAAGTTGGCTGTTCCGTTTTCTCCCCACCTACCACCCTCCTTTCGCCTTTCTTTCTAGCTTGGGCTCCCTGACCATTACCCTCACGATCTGACCCCTGACTCTTCAGTCCCCACCTGGATAAATCTCCAGCCCTATTCAGACTAAACCTTGGACTCCTCTCCTCGAGCTCTAGCCTGCAGAGCATTAGTGGAGAAAGTCACATCCTCGAGATTGGGTGTGACCACCAATGCAGTCTCCAGCTCAGCGGCATCCACTTTGCCACTGGGCACTTCTCCCTGCCTTTGGCCAGCAGTGTCTCCTGGGCCTCCTGGTGGCTGACCATTGACATCCTGGCATTTCCCATGTACCTGCTGAACTTTACGGGCTTGTAGAACTGGATATGCAGAAATGCTTCCCCTACTTCTTGGTGAGGTTCACTGTGATGTACAAAGAACAGAGGGCAAGCAAGAAGCGGGAGCTCTTCGGCAACCTGCAGGAGTTTGCAGACCCCTCCGGGAAGCTCTCCCTGCTGGGGGTGGGCTGTGGCACTGGAGCCAACTTCAAGTTCTACCTACCTGGGTGCAGGGTGACCTGTATTGACCCCAACCCCAACTTTAAGAAGTTTTTGATCAAGAGCATTGCAGAGAACCGACACCTGCAGTTTGAGTGCTTTGTGGTAGCTGCCAGGGAGAACATGAACCAGGTGGCCGATGGCTCTGTGGACGTGGTGGTCTGCACCCTGGTGCTGTGCTCTGTGGAGAACCAGGAGCAGAGTCTCTGCGAGGTGTGCAGAGTGCTGAAACCCGTGAGTGAGTTGGGGAGGTGTGCTAAGCTGGATGGAGCATCAGGCTGCATCCGGACACCTGTGGGCTCAGGCACAGCTCACACTGAGGGCAACCTTAAACAAGTCATTTTACTCATTTGTTTATTCTTTTTTTGTTTTGTTTTGTTTTGTTTTGTTTTGTTTTGTTTTTTTGAGACGGAGTCTCGCTCTGTCGCCCAGACTGGAGTGCAGTGGCCAGATCTCAGCTCACTGCAAGCTCCGCCTCCCGGGTTCCCGCCATTCTCCTGCCTCAGCCTCCCGAGTAGCTGGGACTACAGGCGCCCGCCACCACGCCCGGCTAGTTTTTTGTATTTTTTAGTAGAGATGGGGTTTCACCGGGTTAGCCAGGATGGTCTCGATCTCCTGACCTTGTGATCCGCCCTTCTCGGCCTCCCAAAGTGCTGGGATTACAGGCTTGAGCCACCGCGCCCAGCCTTGTTTATTCATTATTTATTCAACAGACATTTCGAGAGATTTTAAGAGTGCTAACTACGTGCAGCAACAGTTTTCCTGGAGTGGGAAAATTAGTCTCAGAGGGCTTAAATGAGTTCCGCAAAGACACATGGTTCACAAAAACGGCAGAGACACAACTAAACTGAGGCACCTTAATTTCTAGGCCGGAGACCTCACCATGCTGCTCCATTGGTGGCTTTCAACCTGGTGTCTTCTAAATCCCATCACAGAGTCCGGTTTTCTAAAAATGAGGATTACAAATCCCCTATAGTGCATGCCAGAACAGCTCCCTTCCCTAACAAATAAGAGCTTATAAGTACTCAGATATCCATCTTTATTGGCATCATATGTTATTCAGTTCTTATTCTGGGCCCTCACAAAGTCACCTACATGCCATTCTCTAGCCCTTTTCCCTAGTAACAGTCATTAGTCATTGTTTCTGGGTAATGGGGAAAGCATACAGGGAAAGAATGTAAGAAATGAAAGAAAGGAGTTTCGCCAAAGACATTGCTTATGGAACCACAGGGTATCTTTGAACACCATTTATTTTACAATGTTTCTTACTTCATTGATTATAATTATAAGGGCAACTAATCAACGCAGCCTTGTCATTAAGAAGAATTCAAAACTTAAAGAACACCGGCCAGGTGTGATGGCTCATGCCTGTAATCCCAGCACTTCGGGAGGCCAAGGCAGGCAATTGCTTGAGCTCAGGAGTTCAAGACCAGCCCGGGCAACATGGCAAAACCCCACGTCTTCAAAATATATCCAAGAAGAAGAAGGGGAAGGAGAAGGAGAAGAAGAAGGAGAAGAAGGGGGAGGGGGAGGAGGAGAGTAGCTGGGCGTGGTGGTGCGTGCCTGTAGTCCCAGTTACAGTTACATGGGAGGCTGAGGAGAGGGGATCTCTTGAGCCTAGAAGGCAGAAGGTGCAGCGAACCGAGATTGTGTCACTGCACTCCAGCATGGATGACAGAGTAAGACCTATTACTAATAGTTACTTTCATCTTTCAAGTTATACTTGAACCTGTATTTCACTATCATCATACCAAAAGCATAGAGTAACGTAATCCCCTCAATTTAGATCACACCTATAGCACCTTTTATTTCCCCATCCTCATCCCCACAAGCCCCTCTATCTCAAATCCTGGATTTGGTGGAAATAATCTGTCATTTTAGTTTCAAACTATTCTAAGGGTTTTTCTTCCTTGTCTTCTCTTTCAAAAACTCTTTCTAATTTATAATAGTTTAAATCACTTTATCGTCATTCATTTATTTACTACACATTCCACTAAATGTATTGGTCTCCACTGTTTCTTGTGCTATTTGTCTTCCCCTATTGTGAGTTTTAAATTGTTTTGCTCACTTGATTTTCAAATTTAAGTTTCAATTGCCTAGACTACCTTCTTGGATAGTTTCCTTAGAAATGGTTCATGGGGATAATCTTTGTATATCCAAAAATGTCTATTTTCGCTCCTCACACTTAAATACTATTTTGGCCAAGATTCTTAGATCTGAGAACTTTCCCCAGAAATAGTAAGTATTGTTCCATGGTCCTTGGTTTTCCCAAATTGCAGAAGATGCCTTCAGTGACCTTCTGATTCTCTTTCCTCTTCAGGTAACTGATTTTGTTCTTGGTTGTTTTTACATCTGGAATTTTTAAGGATTATTTTCTTTTGAAGTTCCTTTAAAGTTCAGAAATTTCACCAGCATATGATTAGGTATGTGTCTTGTTTTTGTTACTATTTCTAGGCATTCAAAGAATGCTTTCGAGCTCAATATTCAAGTCTTCTTTAGGTCAGAGTAGTTTTCTTGCCTTGTTTCTTTCTTTATTGGCCCTACTCCATTTGTTCATTTCTCTTCTTCTGGAACAAATATTATTCAGATACAAGATCTCCTAGCTTTAGCATCACCGCTCTTCTCGCTCATTATTTCCATTTCTTTATGCTTTTGTTTTGTGTTGCAACATAGTTCCTCCATTCGACCTTCTAGATGACCTCCCCCATGGCCCAGCAGTATTTATTCTACTTTTTACTTCTGCTGTTGAATTTTAAGTTTAAGATTTCTTTTTAATTGCCAAAAACCTTATTCTTATTTCCATATCATTTCTTAGTAATATGCTGCTGGATGCCTATGGAGGTTATATTTGGTGCTGTAGATTGTTTTAAAGTTCTATTTTCTTGACCGGGCACAGTGGCTCACGCCTGTAATCCCAGCACTTTGGGAGGCCGAGGCGGGCAGATCACCTGAGATCAGGAGTTCGAGACCAGGCTGGTCAACGTGGTGAAACCCTGTCTCTACTAAAAATACAAAAAATGAGCTGGGCGTGGTGGCACATGCCTGTACTCCCAGCTACTGGGGAGGCTGAGGCACGAGAACCACTAGAACGCAGGAGGCAGAGGTTGCAGTGAGCCAAGATTGCACCATTGCACTCCAGCCTGGGCGAAAACAGTGAAACTCTATCTCAGAAAACAAAAACAAACAAAAAAAGTTATATTTTCTTTGTTCCGTTGTCCTCAGTAGTAGGCACCTGTTTGATTGTTGGTTCCCTCCTTCAAGCTGGCAGCACTCTGAAGAGTGAGGAGAGCCCCCAAGTTTTCTTGCTGTTACAGGTATTAACGGATGAAGGCGCTCTTCTCCCAGCTCAGGTAAACAGAGTGAGTCCCCCTCTATAGAGGGCAGCCAGTGTCAGTAGATTTTATGGCCAGGGCTGGATCCTTCTTTTGTCCTGAGAGAGTGGATCCACCCAGCTCAAGTAACTCAGAGGATCTTGGCTCTGCTAGACAAACAAGCTTCCCCCAAGGCCTTTGGGTCCACGGTTCTAGGAACTCAAAGCTTCTGATGGAGCTGCTTGGGGCTCTAGCAAAAGACCAAACTTCCCCATCCACCATCATTTAACTGATTAGCTTTTTATACTATTGACTGATTATCCCAGCAGCACAGTGAGGGGAAAAAAAAAAAAAAAGTCACCCTTCTCCACTTCAGCCACCACTTTCCAATATGCTCCAGAGATAGATAAATATTGATACAGATATATACATTTTTATCAAAGTTATACATGCTGGCCAGGCATGGTGGCTCACACCTATAATCCTAACACTTTAAGAGGCCAAGGCAGAAAGATCACTTGAGTCCAGGCATTCAAGACCAGCCTGAGCAACATAGTGAGACCCCGTCTCTACAAAAAAAAAAAAAAAAATTTTTTTAAAACAAAGTGGCATGCACCTGTAGTCCTAGCTACTCAGAAGACTGAGGTGGGAGGATCGCTTGAACCCAGGAGACAAAGGCTCCAGTGAGCCATGATTGTACCTTTGCACTTCAGCCTGGATAATAGAGTGAGACCTTGTTTCAAAAACAAAACAAAAAAAATTTATACTTGTGTGATTTAAAGAAGCAAACCGTTAGACTTATTATGAAAAATAACAGCTCTTACTTACATACAATGTCTGCTCCCCAATGGCAACCACATTCAAGTTTTGGCCTTCTATTTTAAATTTTATATCCATATCTCTAAATAACATATTTATACTGCTACTTCTCAACTTTTCAGGTTTGAGCATTAACTATTGACTTCTCACTCTGAAAAGTAAGAATTTACCTCTCTTTAACAACCATCCCAGGGCCACCATATTACCCATCTCCCCTCATCCTGATAGAATTATTTCATTAATTGATATTCAGAGCAAAGGGGTATAGTATACTTCATTTAGTTTTGGAACTATTCAATCAATATGCTTCCCTACTTTTGCTTTTCCCAGAGTTAATGAATCATTCCAGAATCTCCCTCATTGATAAATTGATAGAACATGTCAACGATTCTATCAATTTCATCATCTGGAGTTGTTTTTCCCAAAGTCTCTCCCTGTTCCCACCGGGACTGGGTGCTCTCTAGACCTGATGCACTGCTCTCACCTTGGTGCCTCACATCACCATCATGAGGCTAGGATTTGTCTCTTGCTGGGGACTTTCTATCTCCTACATTCTATCTCTTCCTTAGTTTACTTTCTAGTTTTGGTAGCTTTCTGAGGTTTGTGAGGAAAATGTGTTGAGAAAGTACACGTCTGAACTTTTTTATTCTCAAGACTAATTCATAATTTTGGCAGCTGTGGAATTCTGAGTTGTAAAATGTTTGCCCTCAGTAGTTTAAGGGTGTCCATTGCCTTCTAGCCACCAGTATCGCTGCTGAAAAGTCTGAAACCATCTGATTCTAGATTTCTTATGTGAAATCTTCTCCCCCGAACCATATGTTTGTTGAATCTTCCCTGTCACAGTGAAATGACTTGATCTTTTGGAGATTTAGTGGGCTATTGCATTAACAAGCTCCTATCTTTTGGTTCTGGAAATTTGCTCAGGCTATTTCTTTGAGTTTTCTTCCTTTACATTCTTTCTGTTTTCTCTTTCTGGAACTCTCCTTATTCAGTGCTGGAACTAACGCCTGAACTGGGTCTCTGATTTTCTAATCTTTGCTCTCCTGTTTCCTAGTGCTTTGTCCTTTTTCTCTACTCTCTAGATTTCTTTCATATTCTCTTCAAAGCTTTTTACTAAATTTTTCATTTCTGCTATCATTGTTTTAACTTCCTAGGGCTCATCTTGTTTTCTGACTACACCTTTTTTATTGCATTCTGCTCTTGTTTCCAGGATGAAATATCTTCTTTTTCTCTCTGAAGATATTAATAAAAGGGAGAATATTGGTATTAATTAATATCATTTTTATTTTTATTTATTTTTACTTTATTTAAATAAAATTTTAATACATATTAATTTTTTAAATAATATTTTTCTTTTACTATTTCCATCTTTCCATTTAGTCTCTGCTCCTAATTTTTTATTTTTTTATTTTTTGGATTGTTGTTGTTGTTTGTGATCTGAGTTCCAATTTTTGTGTGAGAGGCTCTTCTCCAACGACTAGTGACCCATGGATAATTCACATTTCAGGGGGTGTCACTAAAGGCTGGTTGGTCACTCCATAAGCATGAATGAGGCATGTCCACCTCGACGAACTAGTTAAACTGTTCACATGGAGAAGTCACAGTGCCAATGTTTCGGGGTTTTTCCTTTCCAGTTGGTCACCCACAGAAAAGAATCTTCCAAATCGCTGCCTGGAATGTGCAAGCTTGGCTTCCAGCATTCTGGAAACAAAATGAGAAAAGAGGACAGAGGGGTCTCACCATTCAGTTGTAAATCTTCACTTACTCTCTTATCTTTTTAGTAGGTGTCTATGCCCTAAATAGGATGCACTGTACCTTGTTACAAAGACCCTCTATCTAGCCATCTCCAGAGAATAAACCTCTGCTGAGGTGAGGAGGGACAGAATTTGGCTATTCTGAGTGGGGTAGGGGATCCCAAGTCTGAATGGCTTATTAAACAGACTTCAACCAAACCTCAAAGTTTTTTTAAAAATCAACCATATTGATTTAAAGTTGATTTAAAATCAACTTTACAATTTCCTCATGTCTCTGTGTACACTGTTAAATAAAACAAAATAACTCATGTGGTTACCACAAGGGCCTCAGCAACTCAGGGGCTCAAGACCTGTCCTTTATCAGTCAGGTTCAATAAGGAGACAATACCCACACTAGTTATTTGAACAGAGTAAAGAAGTATTAACTAAGGCTGGCACGGTGGCTCACATCTCTAATCCCAGCACTTTGGGAGGCAGAAGCAGTTGGATCACTTGAGCCCAGGAGTTTGAGACCAGCCCAGGAAACACTGCAAAACTCCGTCTTTACAAAAATTTAAAAAACTAGTCAGGTGTGGTGGTGTACATCTATAATTCCAGCTACTCAGAAGACAGAGTCAGAGGGATGGCTTGAGCCCTCAGGTTGCAGTGAACCAAGATCATGCCACTGCACTCCAGCCTTGGTGACAGAGTGAGACCCTGTCTCAAAAAATAAATACATAAATAGAATTATTAACTAGGTTTAGAGTTGTTGACTGGGTAAGTGAAAGAGTAACTAGCTATAAAATATCACAGAACTAGCAGAAGTAGCTACCATAGCTAGGGCTGAGGTGACAGAGGGAAGAAGTTAGAGGTTACGAAAACTTGGAAACTTAGAGGAGGAGCCCCTGAAACTCAGACTTTTAAGGAGGAAACCCTGCTTGGCAGGTGCTAAAAGCAGGGCCCTGTGGGCCTGGGACCCAGAGCTCTGAGAAAGGGGTAGTACAGTACCCGTACCAGGCTGGCTGGTGCTGGCATCTCTGAGTGGGAGGGCACAATGAGGCTGATTCTCCAAGTGTAGGGAAAACTGCCAACCGGATGGCAGGGTGAAGACACACTGCTCACAAGAACAGCAAACAGACGGGACGCCCACAAAAAGCAACGCCTTGAGTCTCCCTCTGGCGCCCCCTATCTGCACATCCCAGGCAGGAGCCAGTTGACAAGGCATAGGTGAGCCACAGAGTCGGCTCCAGCACCCCAAAGCTGAGAGTCTGAGTTGGGTCTGGAGCAAAGAGACAGTAACTCAGTAACTGTCACACTCATCAGCCGGCAATGCCACTACTCTGCATCACATTTTCCCTAAGCTGATGAGACCTACCCATTTTTTTGGCATTTGCACCCGTATCACCAAGGCTTCTCCAGCACAGCCCCTGAAACCATCAGCTGAGTGAGTCATGGGTTAAAGTAATTGAAACGCCCTGGTTTTGGCTTTCTGAGTGAGTCGTATAATACAAACACCTCTGTATCTTCCATTCCTACCATCATTCCTGGCATACAGCAGGTACCCTTTAAATGTTTCTTGAATAAAGCCAAGCCTGTATTCAACCATGTGCCGATTCAACCAAGATACTGTTGCCTAAAAAAGCATCAACTATTTTTTAAAATAATAATATGCTATTACGGTTTAAGTCTGGCATTCAAATTAGGGCAACCCTTTAGAAAAACAGTTTGGTTAAAAGCCGTATCCATGAAGATGTTAATCATGGTATAATTTATAGAGTGACAGAAAGTAGCTCATGTGTTCTACAACAGAGGCATGGTTAAGTTGTGAAACCATCTCTCATTAGCATAATATGTCTGCATGTAAAATCAGAGTTATGGGAATAGTGTTGTACTATCAAAAAAGTACTTAAGCTTTGGGGAGGCTGGATACCACAATGGGTAGAGCAGAGATTTCAGAGTCAAAGATATCCAGGTTCCAATCCTAGCTCTATTGCTTATCCAAAGTGCAACTGAGACTCCCGGAGCCTTGGTTTCTTTATCTGTAGTGTCAGGAAAATGCCTACTTCCCAGGATTATGTTAAGGATTTAATGAGAAAGAGAAAACAATTTATACAGATCTTGGTACATGCCAGGTATTTCGTAAGTAATAAATGTTTTTATTGTCTTAAGTAAACATGCAGAATGGAAAGAGGTAGCAATATTACACTTACAATTATGCTTAAAAGAAAAACAGGTGCATTGGAGGAAAAAACTAAAAGGAAATGCATTTAAATACTAAACAGTGGTTGTACTGAGGGCTGGAATTATGATTGACTCCCTTTCTCTGTTATCCAAATTATGTCATAATTCAGTATATATATATTGGGTCTCTGCCCCCAGCACCTGACACAGAGCTCCTAAACCCTTGTAATATCCTGAGTGACAGGGGTGCTAGCAGCACCTTTTGTTCTAATATTTAGTCTTCAATCCCTGTTCCTGACACAGAGCTCCTAATTTCCTGGACAATAGGATTGCGGTTTTTATTCTAATGAACTGACTGCCAGTGGGCTCCTAGATAGCGTCAGGATAGGGGCTGGTCATAAGAAAGGTCAATGTCTGATTAGAAGCTTGGAACTTTCAGCCCCCTCCCCCATGCTCTGGGGAGGAGAGTGGGGCTAAGGATTGAGTAATAATCGCTAATGCTTATGTGATGAAGCGTCCATAAAAATCCCTAAACTACGAGGTAGGAGAGCTTCCAGGTTGGAGAATGCATCCACTTGCCAGGACAGTGGTGCATCGCAGCTCCATGGGGACAGAAGCTCCTGCACTCAGGACACTTCCAGACCTTGTCCTATTTCCTCTTCATCTGGCTATTCATGTCTATCTTCTATAATCTCCTCTGTGATAAACCAGTAAATCTAAATAAAGTGTTTCTGAGTTCTGTGAGCCATTAAGAGTAAATTATTGAACCTAAGGAGGAGGTTGTGGGAATCCTGGATTTGTAGCCAAACTAAACAGAGGTGTGGGCACCCAGTACTTGCAACTGACATCTGAAATGGGGGCAATTTTGTGGGACTGACACTTTAACCTGCAGGCTCTCCCCTACCCTGGGTAGTTAGTGTTCAAACTAAATTAAATTGTAGGACAGCCAGTTGGTGTCTCCAGAGAACTGCAGAATTGTGTAGAAAACCCACACATTTGCTGTCAGAAGTGTTGTGCATAAAGAAATGGTTTTCCTTTGCAGATATTATTCCATGAAACTTGATACTTTAATAATGGCAAAACAGGCCGGGCACGGTGGCTCATGCCTGTAATCCCAGCTCTTTGGGAGGCTGAGGCAGGCGGATCACTTGAGCTCAGGAATTTGAGACCAGCTTGGAGGAACATAGAAAAACCCAGTCTCCACAGGAAAAAAAAAAAAATTAACTAGGCATGGTGGCACGAGCTTGTAGTCCCAGCTACTAGGAGGCTAAGACAGGAGAATCGTTTGAGCTTGGGAGGCAGAGGTTACAGTGAGCCGAGATCTTGCCACTGCACTCCAGCCTGGGTGATAGAAGTGAAACCTTGTCTCAAAAAAAAAAAAAAAAAAATGGCAAAATGTATCATTTTTTAAAAAAAAGTTATGAGCAAAACATTCCAAAGATCAGGAAAAGTCATGATTCATTGGTCCACAAAAAGTCCAAAGAGCTGCTGGCCTGCCTGAATAATTTAGTCCCAAAGCTGTTAGATGGGGCCGGGAAGGCAGGCATTGTGCCAGGGCAGCAGCGGGGAGGTTTTTTGTCCCAGTACAGACGAGGGCACTTGTGCCGGCAGTGGTGCCTACACGGAGAGACTGATTATACACACAGGTATGATGGAAGACACGCTTCTCACTAAAGGAGAAAGGATTTATAAATATGGTAAGGGAGGAACTGCATGAACCATGTGATCATGGGTTTGGTATTGGAGATTGAGTGTGGCTCAAGGCCTTCAAGACAGACAGGCAGATGGACAGATAGATGGATGGATGGATAGATAGACAGATAGATAGATAGATAGATAGATAGATAGATAGATAGATAGATAGTAGATAAAATATATACAGATTTAAATTGTGTAGATGTATATTTACATAAACACATATACAGATATGTACATATATTTGCTAACTCCACTGATGATCTTATTTCCTATAGAATATTGTTTATTCAATCAATAGATTATATTTTTTCATTAAAGGTCTCATTTTTCCATGTTGCCCACCACCCAAACAAGCCTTAGAGTTGCTGGTTTCAAATATTAAAGCTTAAAGGAAACATCCTTCCCCTGACTCCAGTCCAAGAATCACTGACAAACTGACCAACTCTCGAAAGCAATGAGGAGAGCTAGTGCCCGGATCTCGGTTTCCATATCCCATTCTCCACCAAGAGAAACGACTGTTCCTTGGAAAAATGGCCAATATCACGGGTGGGACAGGGAAAGCACAAGATGAGCCAGGAACACCTTGTTTTAGAAAGCAAGGAAGTGCCTAAAGAATGGAGGGGGTATCGCAAAAGGACACAGAAGCCTGCTGAAGGGGTGACCCCTTGGCCAAGCAGGGAGATTTTTAGCACCAAAATAAATAATGAGGCCAGGTGCTGTCATCCCAGCACTTTGGGATACCAAGGCAGGAAGATCACTTGAGGCCAAGAGTTCAAGACCAGCCTGGGCAACATAACAAGACCCTGTCTTTAAAAAAAAAATGAGCCCCGGCATGGTGGTGCACACCTGAAGTCCCAGGTACTTGAGAGGCTGAGACAGGAGGATTGCTTGGACCCAAGAGTTCGAGGTTACAGTGAGTTATGATCACACCGCTGTACCCCAGCCTGGGTGACAGAGCAAGACCCTATCTCAAAAATAAATTAACAAAAATAAATTAAAATTAATAAAATAAAACCAAAATAAATCATGAGTAAAATAGGAATCCCTGAGTCTATCCTAATATAAATAAAAATATGAATAAATAAATGTAGAGAAGAGAAAGAGCTTTTTCTTTTTCTGTATAGAAGATGCCAACTGATAAATGCAGAAGTAATAGTGGACTTGGCAACTATCACAGTAATAATTAGGCCAAGAAACATCAATGATGCTAACACTAGTGGGAGGAAGTTTGATGAAGATCAAGATACTTACATAGTCTCAAAGGATCTCTCCATAAAGTGCTTTTTAATTACAAAGAGGAAAAATGTAAGTTACCTTGGAGAAGCCTGGCAGACACCATCTTAATCAAGCGATCAAAGTTAACATCACCGGTAATGGAACAAGTTAAGATGATGCAGGGCCTGACCGGATGCTGTAGGAAGAACACAGCATGGCTTCTGTGATTTTCCTGCCAGAAATGCAGAATCAGAATCTATTCATGAAGAAACATCACGCAAACCCCAATGGAGGGACATTCTACGAAACTCAAGTGCCAAGGTCATGGAAATCAAGACGCAGGAACTATTTCAGATTCGAGAACGCTAACTAGACATGACAGTCGCACGCAACCATGCCTGACTCTGAACTGGAACCTTTTGCTCTAAAGGACATCACCAGGACAACTGGGAAAAACAAATGGGGTCTGAGGACTTGATGGCAGTAACGTATTGAGATGAAATCCCTGGTGTTAATGGCTGTGTTGTGGTTATGTGAGAGTGAGAATGTCCTTGTTTGAGGAAATACACATTAAACTATTCAGGAGTGAGGGGTCATCAGGCCAGCAACTTACTCTCAGATGATACAGAAAAAAAAAAAAAAAGTTCTTTGTACTATTCTTGCAACTTTTTCATAAGTTAAAAATTATTTCAAAGAGGAAGAAAAAGTCCCAAAACTTCATTCTGGCTGCAGCCGAAAGCTCTGAGTCTTTGTTTATCTCACTAAAGGCAAAGGTTGCAGCCAGTTCAGGTGGCCAAACCTGTTCATCCTGACTGTCTCGGGGTAGCCTACCAGGCGTGGGCAGAAAAACACCTCCCTGTGCAGGGGTTCAGGCCTGAGGCTGGCCAGGGAGGGCTGGATGCTGGCTGTGGGCCAAGGCTCCAGTGAGGAACCTCAGCACTAAGCACTCCAGGAGGAGGTCGGTCACCTGTGGCCTCTGGGGCTTGGGATAGGAAGTGAAGCAAACCAGGACTTTTCCTACCCTCCACTGGGACCAAGACCTTCCCATCAGGCCCTGAAGGCTCAGAAAAGGAGGAGATTGGGGAAGGGAGGAGGGGAGAGGAAGAGAGGAGTGCCTTTGCTCTGGTATTGTCACATTTTATATATACACACACACACACACACACACACACACACAGTATTTGTTTTATCTAAGTCACCAGAGCCTGTTGTCCTTGGCCCTCTATGCCATTTCCCCTTCACTGTTTCCCAGCAGGGGTGGCAGAGGCCTGGCCGGTGCAGTTGCCGGTGGAACCAGGAGAGGACTGCCTTAGGAACCAGTGTTCAATGGCCTGTCACTAAGGGTTTCTGAGGTTTGTTTTTCCCCACAGCAAAGCCGCTGCTTCACTTTTTGCGTATTTTAACAGGTTTGATGTTTTCCCTGGGATACTCCTACAGATTTCAAAAATGGAAAAGCAGTAAGCGTTTGCTGATGCATATCTTCTCCATGCAACTGTGAGCTGCTAAAGGCAAGCACTGTGCAAACTCGCTTTTCTGTCCACTCCCTCCCAGTGCCTAATAAGTGTCGGTCCACAGCAGGCGCTCAATGAATGCTTTGTTTCTCTGTCCAGGGTTGTGTGTGTGTGTGTTCCCACACTGCCTTTTTCTGCATATCTGGGAAGCAAAGAGATAAGTCCCATCACCACACCACTTCCCTCCATGTTTCAGCCTGCAAAGGCTCTCTCTGAGGCACCTAATTCCTAAATAAGGTCGTTAATGTGTTTGACTGTTTAAAGTGACGTGCTTTGCTCCTGAGAGATGGATAAGCCATGGTTTTCTGCCATAAGAAACAAGAGAGACAATGGCTCCTAGAGATAAGGAGCTGGGCACTGGGCATATGCGTAATATGGCTGAAACACTGACTTTTGCACAGCACAGAGAAGCTTGTCCCCATCCCACCCCACTCATGAGCACTGTCCATTGTACTCAATGGTCACAGTTTACAGCAACAGCGGATGATGGACGCTGCTCAAGAGTCAGAGGTGTGGGAAAGAGGGTTAAAATAGGAATTTCCACTCCTCAGATGTTCTCCAAAGCCTGGTGGAAAGCGCATCTGGGTCCTCACTGGTGACTGCTAAGATCTAGATAAAGAACAGAGGCTCTCAGGAAATCAGAGATGGGCTCTGGGCTGGCAAGTTAGATTCAGGAGCTCTCATGGAGGTGATGGGGGTCCCCAGTTGATGGAGGTTCTGTCCCCAGAAGTAGCAGCAAAAGCAGCTGTGAAGGCAATGCCTTTGGGGGCTTGCTGGCCCTTTTCAGGCTGTGCTATCTGAAAAGCATCTACGCATTGTACAGCCCACGTCAACAACATTTCGGCCCACAGAGCCAGAATGCTTCATTCAGCCCCAGGGCCTTATCTTCTGAGATCCAGTTACTAGCACCATGATAAGATGGCAGCCAGACGCCTGTCTGATCCTGTCTGGGTCCGGCATCTGACCCCAGTATGACCTCCCTCCTCTCCCACCTGGGCCTGACTCATGCTTCCAGAGCAGGAACTCGAAGATCTCTGCTGCCCAGCCATAGCTGACTCATGGCTGGTCCAGGGGTTGCTCTGGAAGGGGTTCAGGGCAGCTGTCAGCTCTCAGGGAGGAGACACCTGTCATTTCCTGAGCACCTACCATGTGCCAGGCACCAGGCGCACCTCTGAATTTCTTTGGTATAATTAACTTGTAGGGGATTTCTGATCTTTCCTAGAAAGGAGAAAAGTGAGGATCAGGCAGAAGTGAATTCAAAGGCCAATCTCATAGCACTGAGCACAACCATCCACTCACCCTCAGTGCACTTCCTGGGGCCAGCCAGCACCACCCCTGGGAACCGCAGTTTCTTTTTTAAGTTAAAAAAAAAAAAAAAAAAAAAAAAAAGATTGGGCAAGGCGTGGTGGCTTACACCTGTAATCCCAACACTTTGGGAGGCTAAGGCAGGCGGATCACTTGAGATCAGGAGTTGTAGACCAGCCTGGCCAACATGGTGAAACCCCATTCCTACTAAAAAATACAAAAAATCAGCTGGGTGTGGTGGCACAATCCCATAATTCCAGCTACTTGGGAGGCTGAGGCATAAGAATCGCTTGAACCCAGGAGGCAGAGGTTGCAGTGGGCCGAGATCGTGCCACTGCACTCCAGCCTCAGTGACAGAGTGAGACTCTGTCTCAAAAAAAAATGTAGAAACAGGGTCTCACTATGTTGCCAAGGCTGGTCTCCAACTCCTGAACTCAAGCAATCTTCCTGCCTCAGCTTCCTAAAGCTCTAAGATTACAGATGTGAGCTACCTCACCCAGCCTCACCGTTTCTTCATTCATTCCTCCAACTCACATTTATCAAGGGCTTTCTCCCTTCTGCTTCGTGGCCAGTCGGTCCCAGAGGGCAGACTTCGGGAGGCCCACCAGCTCTCCTGAAGGAGCCAGGCTTGGCTGGGAAAGGGGGCACTTGGACCCCAAGTCCACCAAGGCAGAAACAGGTATCCCTACTCCCTGCAACCCTCTCTGAGCCAGGGGGTGGAGCTAGGTGGCCTCGGTGGCTGCAGCGGGTCTGTGGCCTGGACTGCAGCATGGTCCTGGCAGCTCACTCCTGCACCCAGCAGGTGCTTCGGGAGGCATCCTTGCTCTCCCCTGGCATCAGCCCTACAGTGGGTGAGCAGGTGAGGTGGCAGTGGCAATGAGATCACCTCTCATTCCTGTGGTTGCAGGTGCCTGGCTGATGTCAGACCTGAGTGGAGTGGCAGCGGGGGGCAGGAGGTCACTGTGTCTGGGGCCTGAATGGGGGCTGAGGCTTTTCCTTAAAAGCTCATAAATTACTAAATATGTCCCTTTCAGCACAGCCACACCCTGGGCCTGGGAGGATGCATCTCCTCATGTAGACACAGACAGCTTCCCTCAGGCCCTGCTCATTGCTCACACGTGCCTTTATGGCACCACAGACCTTCTGGGGGCGAGGGTGGTCTCGTATCCCTCACACGTGCAGTGAATACACATGTGTGCACATAACTCACACAGGCAGATAGTCTTTCTGGGGCACACAGGTGCATGCTACAAGCAGCCTTGTGCAAGTGCCCACAGCCCCCTCCCACCTCACACATGTCCACGTGGCTTCATGCTATTCCCATGCTCACTGGTGTCCCCAGGCACAGACAAGGACACACTTGGCAGGGCACTTAAGTTTCTCCAGGTATGCAGGAAAACACATGACTTTGTGCTATCGCACATGCTCCCAAATGTACACACTCACAAATATGCAAAGTCTGCAGGAGCCTGAATTCCATCACACACCTGCACACCCATGTGCACTCAGCACTCACACATACACCGCGGTTCCCCGGGGGGGTGCGCACTCAAGGCAGGAGGTACACACTCAAATCATGCACACCCCCAGACACACACGTGCATGCATGAACAACAGACTATGCCCAGGTGTCCACACAGCATTCACATGCTCATGCCCACCAGTAGACATACAAGTGGGACATTCAGGACATCAGGAGTGAGAGTACAGCAGGGAGGAAACCACAGCTGGCAGGATGCTGCAATCCCCAGCCTCACCTCTGGGAGCCACTGTCGGGTCTGCAGCCAAGCCCTGGGCTTGGAAGGGCAGGAGCCTGCCTTAGGCACACTCCCACTGGCCTGAGCCAACAGGTGGCACAGCTCAGGCTGGACCCAGCCAGCCTCAAGGAGGGAAGAGGGGGCATCGTGGTGGCACTGGACTCCCTGCAGGGTATGGGATGAACTCTGCTCCTCAGATGGACAGGGGCTGCAAGAAGGAAGAATGGGCAGCTTGAACTCAGGGAGGTGGGTCTGTGGTGGGGTAAGTGGATGGAATAGAACCGGAGGGTGGAGGAGGAGATGGGAAATGGAAGGGCAGGGGTTAAGGAAGAAATAAAGGAGACAGAGGGAAGGACTGTGGGGAGGGAGACGAAAAGGTTGAGGACAGGAGGGGAGGGACAGAGAAGAGAAGAAGAGAAGAAAAAGTGAGGAGAGAAGAGGGGCCAGACGCGAACAGAGCAGTTCAGGGGTGTGAGGAAGGAGGTAGAGGGATGGGCACGCCCTGCACCACCAGCCACCTGGCCTCCCTGTCCTGCCAGCTCCATCCCCCGTCAGGAAAGACAGGCCAAGGCTCTGCTGCACTGTGTCCCTTCCCTTCTCCAGACCCAGGATCTTTGCATCCCTGGATTTTGACATCCAAAAGGCCAGGCTCCACTTACCCCACATGGAAGGCAGTGACTCACATAGATGAGCCTGCTAGAGAACCTTTTCCAGGAGCAGAGATCCACCAGGGCAGACGGGGTCTGCTTTCCCCTCTCCTGGGGCTGGCTGGAACACCCTACTCTTACCCCAACTCACAGTGATCCCCAGAGGGGGAGGCAATGGGGTGGTGCACTCTGCTCCAGCACGTGCCACCTGCCTGACACCCACACGGGGACAGCTTCCAACGGGATGCAAGTGGCAGACAAACGTATCCCAGGAGAGCAGGTGGGGGAGGCTGAGACTGGGGAATGGGCACCCCTCATCTCCCACAGGCTCAGCGGCTCCCTCAGGACATGGAGAAAGCTGGGAACCCTGAGACAGAACTGGAAGTTCTTGTTGCCTAAATCTCTCCTGGCCTGCTACACATGGAACCCATTTCTTCCCATTCAGGGCTCTGCAGAGGCAGAAGATGAACAGTAAAATGCAAAGATCTGGCGACCTTCAGAGCTGGGTGAGTCCTGGGGTCCTCACCCCATTATGCCTAAGCTACAACCCTGTATTCCCTGTCCTCCCAGCCCTAAGGGTTCTGGTCCCACTACGCAGGGGTGGCTCAAAAGCCCACTGAGCTGCAAGGGTCTGAGAGCACACAATGTCACAGAGGAAGAGAGGCGGCCTTGGACCTGGGATCTTGTTTGCGGCTCTTTATCATGGACACTCTCCTAGAACTCCCCAGTCCCTCCACCTCCTCCTGAAGTACTCCAAGAGCTGGTCAGCACCGAGAGCCCACCTCAGGCTGTGGCATGGCTCTTCGGGGGGCCTGGTGGGTCACGGGCTTACGTCTCCCAGTTCCTGTGTCCCATAACTCAGGGCCCAGATGGAGACACTGTGACTGTTCACTAATCAGATAAATAAGTGTGTAGGAGAAAGGCCTTGCAAACTCTATTCTTCAGATGAGAACACTGAGGCTCCGCGAGGCGGCAAGTCTTTTTGAGGGCCAGTGGAGCAGACCACCCTGGGAGCCCTAAAGGAAGTGCTGGCGGAGCTGAAGCCGCAGTTCTCCTGCCTGGTCTTCCTGTCCAGCCTTCCACCTCACCCTTCCCCCTCCCTCAGCCCTGCCCTGGGCTCCAAACCCTGACCTGATGGAGTCTCACCTGGGCAGGCCCACCTCAGACTGCCTGCTGCAGACCCACACACCCCATCCCCTTCTCCCTCCACAGGAGCATGCCCCCGCCATCACTCCCCTGCTCCATGAAACCCAAAGGCAGACCCCCCGCAATCCTCCCCATTCCCATAGCATTACAGCCCTGCATCTGACCACATCCCTCCCTGCTTAAAACTCTTCAACAGCTCCCAGTTTCCCCTGGGACAGAAAGCTCACTCCTCATGTCGGCATTCAAGAGCCCCGCGTACTTTTCTGGCTTCATCTCCAGCCACCGTCACCCCCCACCGCCACCTCCACCCGACCGTCTTAACACCCTGGTCTGCTCTCCAAACACACAACTGCTTGCATGTCCCTGGCTCAGCCTGCAGGGCCAGCTATGTCTCACCCCCACAAAACTTCACACGGCCGTTCTAGAGAGGCCAAGGGCACCCCTCAGAGCTCCTGTAGCCCCCAGGCTTCCTCCCTTCCTGGTGCGTATCCTCTGTGTGCTTGTCTGAATCCCCTCTAAACTGTAACCTCTCTGCAGGCAGGGGCCCAGCCAATCTTGCCAAATGATTATCCTCTGCACCCAGCACACCCCTGAACACCTAGTAGGTGTTTAAGAAATACTGTCTAATATTAGGCTCTAATTATTTCATTGATAGTGTAGTCTGGTTCCCCGCTCCATCCGCATGGACCGAGGAGACACTCTGCAGAACCACCCAGAAGCCCCAAAGTGTGACATCACCAGTTCAACAGCCTTTCCCACTCCCATCACTTCCTGAAACAGCCAGAGCAAGAAGATGATGCATGTGAGCCCTGCCCTTGGGAAGCCTCCAGGTTGGGAAATGAGGAATGAGCCTGACACCCAGGGCCCAGAGAGACCCAGGACAGAGGCAGGCCAGGAGGCAGACACGTGCTGCTGGGTGATGACGACAGCACCACTAATCACGACTACTCCTTATTAAGTACTTACTAAGTGCAAGACTCCAAGCTAAGCAATTAATAGACCTTTTCTTGTTTAATCCTTACCATAATTCCATAGGGTGAGTATAATCCTTAATTTATAGTTTGGGAAAGGAGGCTCAGAGAGTTCTAGCAATGTGTGCAGCATCACACAGCTAGTCAGTGGTAGAGCTGGAATTTCAGTCCAGATCTGCCAGCTCCAAAGCCAGTGCCCTTTCTACCCCACTTCAAGCTCTAGGTGGGGATTTGTTACTTCCCTTACAAAAAGCCTCGTGGGAGCCCCATTACCAATAACATAAGCCCCCCACAGCTGAGACTCCCCTGGATGACCCCTGCCTGCCTTCTCACCATTGCTTCCAGCACACCACCATCACACCTTAGATTTTAACACTGCCGTTTTTGAAGTTTACCCCTATAAGTCTTGGCTTCTGCTGTTTACTCAGGCTCAAATCCAGCCCCACTTTACAGATGACAAAACAGAGAACTAAGAATGTTAAGTAACTAGCCCAAGGTCACGCAACTAGAAAGCAATTGAGCCTGGTTAGGGCTCAGGTCATTAGAGCATCAAGTAATCAAGCATTAATTTGTGTTACAGACAATTAGAGAATGAGAATTAGCAGGACATGTTGCTAATGGTGCAGAAGAAGTTAGCGGAGAGGAATCAGGCAGGTTCCAGAGTGAAGGAGGGCCAGGCTAGGCCTTGAGAAATGGGCAGGCTCTGAATGTGTGTTCTTGAAAGGGGAGGGCAAGAGAAGAGTACAAAGATGACAGCAAAGAGAGGGAGAGAGGAAGGGAGAGGGGGTTGTCAAAATTAGGGAGAGAATGTGGCATGGTGAACAGAGCTGTGACTGGGAGTCAGGAGACCCAGCTGTGTCCCGTCAACTTCCTGTGTGATCTTGGGCAAGGAAGGCCCTTCCCTCTCTGGGGGGTGCCTTGTCTATCAGTGAAGGATAGATGCACCTAGGTGGCCTCTGGGGTCCCACCTGGCCCTGACATCCCAGGAATTTTTGTGTTGCCATTGGACCTTGAAACACAGAATCTGACCCCAGACCCCTGACATGTGGTACAGGCTTGGACACCAAGGGCAGACAGGGCCAGCGGCTAACAAGACACCTGATAGGGAGCACCCAAGGGCTATCCCCATCCACACGAAGTCACTCACGCGCCCCTTCTGCCCCTGCATCCGTGCTACTAAGCATGTGTGGACTCGCTACAGTGGATCCAATCCTGTGGAAGCTAGAATGCAGCAGGGGCGAAAGAGTCGTATACTCAAGGAAAGGCATTTGTCCTCAAGGAAAGGCAAAGGGAATGGAGGTGCTTAGAGAAGGGGCAAAGAAAACTTCCTGAAAGTAAGGGTGGAGGTTTTCAGATTGGAATACATGGTCTGCCAAATTGGAGGACATTTGAGGAAAAAGAATGGTCCCCAATCAAGACAGCACTGCACCCAAACATAAAGTACCTTCCAGACCATCAGAAAAGGAAACAGTCCTGTCTCAGGGGCCTGTGCTCACAACAACAGATGCTGCTGGAGACCTCAGAGCCCGTGGAGGCAGAAGATGCCTCACTAGAGACTGTGGACACACATATCTGAGCACACACAGGTGCTCGCACACAAGCCTGAACAGAGACCCCACCGTGGGCCGTCCATCCTCCCACTTCCCAGTTGAGCCCGGTAAGCAGCTCTCCCTCTCCAGCAAACACACCCCTCACGTGCTGATGACATGCAGCCCTGGAAGTCAGAACGTCTTGCTGTCTCACCTTGCTCCCTCTTGCTGTAGTTCTGATGCGCTTGCTTCTTTTCTGACTCAAGAGATGCCAAACAGAAACAGGCCCACCCACTTCTGTGTCCTGACTTTCGCCTTCTGGAACATGAACTCAGCTCTTACCTTTCCTACCTGTTTGACCTCCAGACCCCTGTCTTATTCACAACAGAATGCCAAATGATGGATGATGGGCACTCGGGAGCCCACGTGATCCTCCAGTGGCCAGCCTCACTGTGCCCTCCAGATTTATCCCACAGCTAGAAGCTCAGGGCAAGCACCAGCTCCTCTGCTGACTGGCTGCAAAAGCTCGGGCTGAGTTTCTGTGTTCTACAAGGTTATGGTGAAGATCACACGAGAACTGCCTGCAAAGCACTTAGCACAGAGCAGGGCACAGAGTAAGCCCTCGATGATGAATAATACACTTATTATTATTATTTGTCCCTAATTTTAACTCCCTCTGCCCTTATCCCACCATCCCACAGGTTGAGTAGGAAGTCCTTTTTGAAGTCTAATCTCAAGCCTTCATGCCACGGATTGGGCCAATGTTCCACCTTAATTGGAGTCCGGGGACTGGGGTGGAAAAAGCAGAACTGGCTGATTGGAGGAGCCACGTCCCTGCAAGGGGCCAGGAGGGAGATTACAGAGGCGCCAGGCCCAGAGCTCCAACATGCACCTGCCGCCGCTCCAGGGGAGATCGGGGTCCTGCCAATTTACCCCGCCCCATGATCTCATGGCTGTGTGTGCCAGGCACTGGCTCAGGGAGCAGGTACTGACAGCAGGGCCTGGGCAAGAAGCCCAAGACAAGAAGATGGGAAGGCTGTGGAGAGCCAACAACAGAGCTGTCCCCATGGGGCTCAGACACGAGTTTCCTCCGGCCTTCACGTGTAACCTTTAGCTAGTGACTCACCGTCTCTGTCCCTCCTTCAAGGCCCTTCCATGCTCCCCAGTAGCCTCCCTGTGCTGCCCCCTCACACCAAAAGACAATGGGTGAGGGGAGGGGAGGCTCTCCTCCTCGACAGGGGCCATTCCCTCCCCTGCATCTCTTTCTGCTGACCCTGAACAGGACACCCTTGCTTTAAAGCACAGGAAGTTCACTGGGCAGGAGACAGGTGGCCAAATGCTGTCACTCCTGAGGCTGCCGCAGGCATGCAACTAAATGCCAACTGTAAAGGGCCTGTAATCCCCAAAGAGATGCCTCTCTCTCTCTCTGTTTCAGGGTGTCTGTAGAGATCAGACAGACCTTGAGTTAACCCCAATCCCAAGTTCTCCTGTATCTTGACCCACAACCTCTCCTTCCTCAGCCAATTCCTGGATATGTCTCTCCCCAAATTATCCCCTCCACTCACCCCAAAATCCACCACTGGGGGTCCAAAGACCCTCCCCTGAGCCTGGCTGGACAGACTGCAGCTTCTGGAACACAGCATGGCAGGCCTGGCTGGCAGTCCCAGGGGAAGGAGCCGTCTGGTCCTGCTGGACCACCAGGGGCTCCCTCTGCCTCCTGATTACAGGAAGAGGCCTCCACATGGCCCAGAGCTCTGCCCTCAGGGTGCTCTCTCTGCTCCCAATCTCACTGCCTGCTCTCAGACTTTCAGCTCCAGCGCAGCCAGACACATGTGCCTCCTTGTCCCCACCAAGGATCTCCCCGAGTAGGTTCCACCCCTTCCAGCTTCCCGGTCCCACCCCTTTCAGCTTCCTGGCCCTGCTTCCTGGCCTACCCTTCCTACAGGGAGTCACCTGGGCTCTGCCTGTCTCTCCCTCCACAGTCACCACCCCAGCCCTAGAGTCCAGGTGCCCCTGCTGCTCCCACCTCAGACCTTGGCCTGGGAGACACCAGCCTTCCCCACCCTCAGGGAATTCCTCAAAAATCAAAAACCTCATAACATGGGTCCATCCACCATACACACACACACACACACACACACACACACACACAAACACACACATATACATGCTCTGTCCTCCCCTCCTAACCCCTGGCCCCCACCTCCCTCTCTGTAAGGAAACTGGGGAGACTGAAATCCCCTCCAGCCCAGGACCTCTATGAATCTGAGGTTTCTCTCCACAGCCTCAGGTCGGGGCTCCCGCCCTGGATGCAACCAAGTCTGGAGGCTGGCTGACCACAGGGCACACACCCTCCTGACTGGCCTCTGGCTCCTGAGGAGGGGGGCAGCTGGCCTTGGTAGCATTCCCCACTCCACTTTCCAGAATCTCCCTCAGCCCCACCTTGGTAGAAGTCACACTCCCCTCTTTTCTCTCCCCAGCATCTCACAGAGAAGACACTTGGATGGGCCACAGGCCAAAATTGGGCCAAAACCCTGGAGAGGTGGACCTGGCTCAAGGCCATATCACATTTCCATGTCATTTTCCAGTGGCACCAACTGAGCTGGACAGGCATGTGGCTGGACAACCCCCACCCAGGAGGCAGGGCAAATTCCCAGAGTACCAGGTCACTGAGCCATCTCTGGGGTAGGGCTCCCAAGGACTGGCTGGTTCTGGAATGATGCCGCTGGGATGCCAGATGCCAGCTGCTCCCCCTGCCTGCCCCAGCCTCAAATAAAGCCTTGTCCCTCCCAGACCATCACACATTCCCTGCTCTTGGAAGCCTTACCTGGTCAACCCCACCCAACTTTTACCACTTACTACACCACTTACTTCGCGTACCCTCAGCACTTCGATCCCAAGTTACCCTGTGCTCATTTGCCCTTGTTTACGTGTTACTTTGCAGATATTCTCACAGAGCTACACATGCCATGATCATCACTAGTTGCGAGAGTCTCCAGTGTTCATTAAGCCTATTTTGCTGGAGGATTAGTCCCTGTCCTTAAAGAGTGCCAAAGAAGACTTTGGGATCTAAGTCACATCTCCCCTGCTGCAATTTTTTTCCTTTTGATAATCAAGCAATCTCACTGATAAAATTCTCAACAAAGGGCAGCTCTCCCCATGAGCAAGTTCTTGCCTTGACTGCCAGGGAGGCCCCAGCTAAGGTTATACTGGGAAAGGAATCTCTGCGAGTACCTGTAAGAGGTCAGCTTCTCCTCAAAGGAAGCCTCTCCAGCTGGTGTACTGCACACCCTTCCAAGACCAAGTTCCCTTCTCCTGGCCTCTAGAACCTGCCTGTGTGCCAGTGCTGTGTCCCCAGTAACACACACGAGTCTCTCCCTCAGAAGCCACAGAAAGATGCAGAGAGGGACCAACCTGGGATTGATTCTCCGCCCTAGCACTTACTAATTGTGTGGACATAACTGGTCTGGACCTCAGCTTTGCTATCTATAAAATGAGAACCATTTTATAGATATGAACACTTGAGGAGAGTCATAAAGATTGAAGTTGATCTGTGCTGTGCCTGGCACAGAGGCCTCCCTCAGTAAATGGCAGCCATTGCTATTGGGGTGCCCCTACACCCCTTGCCCCTGCCCACCACTGGCTTTCACTTAGGCCCACACTGAGGGTGTGGCTGTTGTGTTGGGGGTAGGAAAGAAAGACCATGCCTGGGTTGCAGGGCCCCCACCCCCAACTGGTCTGCTTTTGTGGGAAGGCTTTTTTGATGCCTTCACCCTACCCCTGGGCTGATTGACTAAGTGTCCAGCATCATGAGGAAAGAAGCAGGGTTCAGCGACACTTGCTTCAGCCCTGAAACTCATCCAGGCCTAGGTCCAGATGAGAGGCATGCCTGGGAGGCCTTCCCTTGTACCCTTGCCTGTCCTGCAGCACCCTCCAGCCTGCAGGCCACTCCTGGGTGGCATAGCACCTTGGATGTCAAGTGTGGGCCTTCCCAGGCACATGGCAGGAGGGGGCACTTCTGTGGGTTGTTGGTGGCAGGAAGGGATGTGTCTCCAGCTGGATCTGGGTTCTTCCATTTTGGGGCCTAGCCATGCCAGGACAGTGCACATGGGCACTTAGTGTGAATCGCATGATGGAGCAGAGGAGGAGCAAGGCAAAACCAGGGAGTCCCCAGCCCCCTGCTTCTGCCCTGCCCAGAGACAGTGGAGCAGGTGTCTCCAGCTTCTTAATCTCAATGCACAGTAACAAATATATTTAACAGCAACCAACAGACACATACATTTACAAAACGATACTCTGTATCGCACTGGGATGGTTTTCTATCCTCACGACCCTCTAGTGAGTTGCAGATGAGTCTGAGAAATCCCGCTATAAGTAACGTAAGCAAGCCACAGTCCCTGGCTGGCAAGTGAGGAAGTGCCCCACCGGGACAGGGACACTGAGGTAGCAATGAAAACAGCCGGTGCAACCACTCCTTCCTTTTCCCCCTGCTCAGCCCCTCATGGGTGAGGAGAGAAGCGGCCAAGCCGAGGACTCCATGAGAAAGATGCCGGAGCTGCCCCACTCTGCAGCAGGTGCTTCCCCTGGATTCTCACTAATCCTCACGACAGCCATGAGCACCAGCAGTTATCTGTTCCATTTTGGAGAGGGGGCAATGCAGGCTCAGAGGCTTTAAAAAGATTTACCGTGTGCTTGCTGTGTGCCGGCAATGTTCTGAATGGTTTATATAATGCACAGCGCTTATCTAGTCCCCAGAGCAGCCCTAGGCAGCTGGTACCGCTGCATCGGCACTTGGCAGAGCAGGACACCACAGCTTCCCCAGCCCCCTGCTCAAGGTCTCACGGCCAATTGCAGACCTGCATCTCTCAAACCAGAAAACCTTTAAGAAGTCCCTCCTGCCCCAGGCAGAGTCCTAGGCTTCCCTGCAGATCCAGGTGAACTTCAGCTAGGAGGAGGCCTGCCTGTAAGTGGGGAACATCAATGGGAGGGAGCAGATTGAAAGCTAGAAGAGAATATGAATGAACAGCTGTGGCTGTGGGCTCACAGAAAGGGGGCAGCTCCTCCTGCCCAACTCTCCTGAATCCAGAGGCTATTTTAGTTTAATGTTGATCATAAAAGAAATATTGATGGTGTGGCTGAATCGGGCTCCGTGGTGGCCTCCATGCAGGTAGCCTGCTCTGGACCCTGTGGTTCCCTGGCTGCTCCAGATGCCCTCACTCCCCAAGGTCAGCTGCAGACCACAGCCTCCTGGGCACAGAGAGCCCTGCTCAGAAGGGACATCTCCATTCGCAGAGGTGAGAGGTCCTGCGGGTTTCATGGTGGAAATGCAAAACCCTGTCTTTGGGACCTGATGTGGATCTGGCTGCCAGCGTCCAGGGTCACCTGTGGGGAGGGGCAGCAGCCGCCCAGCTCTGCCGGAGACAGAGGGCAGGGCCAGACCTCGGGCTTCCCGCCCAGGATGCCATCAGCCAGCCGAAATTCCAGCCCACGCCGGCACCCCAGGGCTGTTGGGGAGGGGCGGGATTTATGACTTCCCCACCCCCCGCAACACCCCAATGGGAAATGTGTTGAGTTGGTCAACATCTCTCCGGTCACAGGGCCAGTGCTCCTGAGGCTCCTCAATGATGGGGCAGGAGCCAGGTCATTAGGCAGGGAGACTGTCATTAGTGCGGGTGATGCCACCACCGCTCAGACAATGGCAAACAGTCATTAGCGGCTGTGTCACAGGGGTGAGGCAATGCTGGCTGGCTGGGGGTGGCGCTTCCCCAGCCACACACTCACACACACACACACGTTCACACACAAGGAGGAAGCAGACATGCTGAAGCACTCACTCCCACAAGGACATCTAGAGACACACACATCCACACGTGGGGGCATGAGTGGGTGTGTCTGCACACTCACATGCTCACATGTCCACACGCATTCACATGCAGGGTGTGAGGAGGCATGCGCTCCCACGTGTTCACACAGTCACATGCAGGAGCATGAGCAGACAGCCACATTTGCACACTCACATGTTCACACAGAGGAAGGAGTGAGCACAGGGCACAGAGACACATGTTCAAACACTTACAGTACAACAAATTCACACAGGCACACAGGCACACTCACACGCTCACATTTCCACACTCACACGCAGGGGCTGAGGGACACATGGCCCAGAGAGGGCCACAGTGTCTGGGACACCCCCACCCACACACACCCCAGGGGCAGGGCCCTCGGATCCTCCCCACGCCAGGCACCCAGACACCCCCTACCCTGAGATAGACATACAGAGCCTCGGGGGCCCCCGAGGAGAGACCCAAAGACAGCCCCTCATCCCATCCACTCCCTGCTTCAAATGATGCAGCAGCTAGGAAGGAAAAACCCAGTGAAGTGAGGAGGCAGCCAGGCTGCATGGACCTCGGCAGAGGCCGCGTCGGCTGTGCCGCCGCAGGGCTCTCCACACTCCCAGCCCTGATGGCCAGCACAAACCTGCTCCCAACATGAACCCCCAAGAAATAGGCTGCTGTAGGTGTGTTCTCTGCCCGCTTCCCTGTGGGAGAGGGACAGGAAGCGGGAGGCTGGAGTTGGAGGAGGAGGGGGAGAAGAGCAACTGAAACTTAGCCCCTGGCCCTGGGTTGAATTCTCTCCCGTCCTCACCAGGCTTTCCCCCGCCAAGCTGTGGAGCTGCCCTTCAGAAAACACAGGCAAGCAGTGGGAAGAGAGGCAGAGAAAGTGGCGGGCACAGCCACGCCAGGCCAAGAGAGTAGCCTGGAACCCAGCCCTCCGCTCTGGGTTCAACGTCTAGCTCCACCACTTACCAGCTGGTAGCATTAGCTTCCTGCGGCTGCTGTAACAGATTTCCATGAATTTAGGGGCTCCACGCAACACAACTGTATTTCTTTATTTAAATAAATCTTACTGGCCGGGCATGGTAGCTCATGCCTCTAATCCTAGCACTTTGGGAGGCTGAGGTGGGAGGATCACTTGAGGTCAGGAGTTCAAGACCAGCCTGGGCAATATGGTGAAACTCCATCTCTACTAAAAATACAAAACTTAGCCAGGTGTGGTGGCACGTGCCCATAGTCCCAGCTACTCAGGAGGTTGAGGCATGAGAATCACTTGAACCCAGAAGGCGGAGGCTACAGTGAGCTGAGATCTCACCACTGCACTCCAGCCTGGGCGACAGAGCGAGACCCTGTCTCTAAATAAATGAATAAATAGATAGATAAATCTTACTTACTACTGCAGCTCTGGAGGCCAGAAGTTCAAAACAGTCTCACTGGCTGAAATCAAGGTGCGGTGGGGCTGCATTCCCCCTGGAGACTCCATAGGGGAACCCATTTTCCTGCCCTTTCCAGCTTCCCATGGCTGCCCACGTTCCTGGGCTCCCTTCCATCTCCCTCACACCGCCTCAGTCTCCTGCCTCCCTCGTCCAGTTTAAAGGACGCTCATGATGACACTGGGCCCACACAGATAATCAGGATAGTCTCTCCACCACAGGATCCTTAATCTCATCTGCAAAGTCCCTTCTGCCACGTAAGGGAACATGTTCACGGGTTCCGCGGATTAGGATGTGGACATCTTTGGGAGGCTGTTATTCTGCCCACACTGGGACAAGTCATTTAAGCTCTCAGAGTCTCAGCATCTTCAACTGTAAACTGAAAATAACTCCTCCACATGGGTGGCCATGGGATTTGGAAAGCCACGTGAGTCCTCAAAGCACTGCACCACTCACCCGGGCCACCTCAATCAGCTGCACTGCCCTCTCCAGCTTGGGCTTCCTGAAGATGGCTTTGAAGCAGTGTGCACCAGGAGAGGGTGAGGAGGGACCCTGAGGTCAGTGAGGGGGTCCGTGTGGACTTGGGCAGGGGCCGACACTCGGGGTAAGGACTGGGAGGAACACACGGGGGTTCCCTGGATCCGGGCGGGAATGAGCCTGTGGTGGGGGAGCCACCCTGAGCTGAGGACACACAGCTGCAGGGACCCAGCACTCAGTCCCCTGAAATGGGCTGCTGTGGGCATGTTTCTCTGCCCGCCTCCCTGTGGGAGAGGCACAGGAAGCTGGAGGCTGGAGTTGGAGGAGGAGGGGGAGGAGAGCAACCGAAACCCAGCCCCTGGCCCTGGATTGAATCTTCTCTCCTGTCCTCACCAGGCTTTCCCCCGCCAAGCTGTGGAGCTGCCCTTCAGAAAACACAGGGGGTGCTGCTCCTGTTTATTCCTGCCCTCCCCTCCCTCATCTACTGCCATCTGTTTGCAGGGCCTCAAGGCCAATGGGCAGGCAGAGGCCCCAGACCAGCCTGCTATTACCCTGGTAAGTGCAGCCTACAGAATGATGACCCAGCAGATAAACCCCACATAGAGGAATCGCCTGCTGGAAAACAGTCATTAGCCCCCGATCCCGCCCAGCACTATTTGCCCTCTCAAGAAGTAGCCAGTGGCTGCTCAGAGGGGAGTTGGGGTCATTGGATTCCCACCAGCTGCCCTGCTCCATCCAGCAGCCCAGGCCGGGAGGCTGATCCTGAGCCCATCTATGCC